ATAAACTATAGAGAATGTCTAGGAGCTTTAATATTCGTTTCAAGATGGCCTAGGAGCTATATATCAAGTTGAAAGTTTACACTTGACATAGGAATATATAATCTCGAATCAAGAGGAATAACTCATGATGGTAGCGACAACATAATATTCGAAGCAAAATACGCCTGTTTTAAACAAAAATAGCTTTTCTTTACATAAACTGAATACATGCAGTTGAAACTTCACACTTGAGCTCCAAATTGACGTAGGAATATGATGTGATTTGGAGTCAACAGTGGAATAACCCATGATGGTATAAACAACATATTCGGAGCAAAATACGGTTGTTTAAGACAATCACAGTTCTTGTTTACATGCAAATAAACATTTTCTTTTCCGTTTCTAAATTCGCCAGAGGGGGGACGAAAGCTCATAGGAATTTTAACGACGATTGGTAAATCGTGTGGAGGGAGAGAAATGTTTTATCCGCAAATTATTCTTTTTGTCCGCAATCCGTATTTCATTCTTTTTGTCTGTCCGTCCGCCAATCCGTTCGTCCGCACCCGCATTTTATCACAACCCACTTTAAAATTACCGAAACAAAAGGCATACTCGCCCGACATACTCTGTTATGTTCACAATTAAGAAATTATAGTAAGCATAGAAATAAACAAGTCAATCATCAGCTTTTAAATTACTAAAAATAGAAAAGTGTGCAAAAGCCACTTTTGACAACATTTTCCACAGACCTTTGTTTCGCTGTTGCGTCTTCCCGCGAATTTTAAGGCCGGCGAAACGAAGGTTTGTGTTCAGGCTAAACAATAGCTTATAGTTATTACACTTATAACTTATAATAATATTATACTCGGAAGTCACGGCCTATTCCTGGAACACGCATGAAATAGTTTCGGTTTTGTAATTTATGCATGTGCGTAGTTGGGTGTTGTCATGATGCGATTGGCATGAAGAGAGACGTAATCCGAAGATTCAACCCGAATCTGATTGTTTTGTATAGAATTCGCTTAGATTTATCATGTTTTTATAGGCCGAAATGTATTACTCCTGTGTATAGTCAGTTGTAAGGCCCAGGTAAACAGAGAAGAAATTTTAAAATAATAAACGTGGTGTACGTTAAGGTAGCTATATGATAGTGTTGTTTTTCGCTATGCTGAGACTAACAGGAATGTTTAATTTTTTGTGTAACTTACCACAATTATGGCTACCAAATCCAAGGTGGCTACATTGTCTCAATGAACGATCAGTTTCAGTACACCGCACATCATCCATCCATATTTGACCAGTTCCTGCTCCAAAGTCTCGCGTAAAAGTTCCCGTTGAAAACCGAGTTCACGACAGACAACATCGCTGTTTATTTGGGACCAACCATCATCGCATATAGTTCCCCAGATACCTTGGTGAAGAATTTCCAACCGCCCAGTGTTATACCCGTTGCCGTCAACAAGCCTCAAGCTGGCATGGAAATAATTATTCCATGATAAAGAGCCTGCTAATGTCTTCAGTGAGCGGTTGAAATACTTCCCAGTTTGCGAAATGATGTCAATTGGTAATGCCTCAGTTCCATTTGCAACGAGATTACCATAGACATTCAAACTTCCGTTTCCAGAAAACTTTATACTTGCACCAGGTTGGATGGTCAGAGTTGCATTCTCATGAACATTGACCGTGTGATTGATTTCCAAGGTTTCATTTTTAAACTCAATTGTGTGATCTTCGTAAATATCTGTAATAAATCCCGAAGTGGGGACTACACAATAGTAAAGAAATGTTAGTAAGGCTAAACAGAAGAATTTGCTTGCCAAACTTGTGTTCCGACCTCGGAGCACCTTCATCACGGAATGCGGTAGAGACGCTAGGAGCTTCGAAATTAATATACCGTTAAAATATGCATGTAATAGATTAAGAAATGCATAAACAATGTAAGCGATCAGAACCATTATATTATGCGTTTAAGTGTAAATAGAACATATAGGATCAGGCTATAATACCAACAAACGCCACAAGCAAAAGACAACACTTTTCATGGGTATAAGCCTTGGGTGAGAGGTAAGCTGGACTAGGAAGCAGCTTTCCGAAAAAAATTCGTGTGTCCACTGATAAAATGTTTTCAACGCTTGAACTCACCGTCACAAAAACAGATTCACTCATTAAACATCTCACAGAGCTTTTGTATAAAAGACTCGCTACCTATGCTGGAGCGAGAGCAACTTAGCGAATTATAACAATTAAGACCATTCCAGCTCCGGTAAGAACGTAAACATGTAATAATGGCCTTTTACTAGAGCAGACCAACTATTAGAGCTTTCTAATAATTATGTACATGCAATGTTGATTTTGCCTTCTTGGTGGGGTAGTTAACATGCACAAATACACCAGCAACGCTGAAAGTGAAACAATTCTGACATCATTTCTATGCGTTTGTTATAGTTTAAATTTCAGTCATTTATTGATTTAAAGCCGGGAGACCAATTCGGCAACTTCACAACTCCCCTATCCGAATTTATAGCCCAAATGCATATCTGAAACTCTTTTTTGCATGCGTGGCTAGACATATTCTTGGGTATATAAACTAGCATAACTTCAGGAAAGGCCCCGCTGAGTCGTCAATTGTATTAACCTGTGTGATTTCAAAGCAAATATGTTATAGAATGCCAACGTTATGACGTTAAACGTTAAACCTCATGACATTTAAATGCTATCGAAGACGAATAGGGTAAAAAAGGTTACATGCATGCATGCAGGCTGAACTAGCAGGTCTATTACTTATATAACTGGAATCAGTTAACTTTCTTACTGATAAACGAAGGCGAGGCAAATATTCATATACTTTGTTTATTATCATTGTATATTGTCCATTATAATTTCTTTGCACTTCTTGTTTAGGTTTACTTTCATTAATTTTCTCGCTTTAAAGCAACTGAGAGATAAAATCCCGAGACTCCCTACAAAATTCCCCACGCCTATAGACATATATTCTCAGAAAATTACGATAGCACTAAAAATAATACACACGGAAAGACTCCCAAAGATTCTTCAAATTGCTAAGCCCAGACCTGTTCAGTAAAATGTAAATTAACCTATGTATTTCAAAGAGAAGTTTTTCTATTATCCAGTTATTAAATTTCAAACCACACGACAGCCGGTGAAAATTTTGTATGTGAAAATGTTAGAAAAGGTTTAACACAGGGTGAGCTATAGATAATTGTCAACCGGAGCAGTGAACCTTGTTGCTAATACATTAAAAAGGTCGAGGCAAAGTTTCGAAAATTAACCGATCTTTAATTGTTTATGAGTAAAATTTTACTTTCGCATTTAAACCAGCAGGAATCAGTCGATCAGCACGTTGCAACAAAGACAAGCCACAAGGGTCAATAACCAAAGCCAAGTCCAAAACAACAAAAGATAATATTATGATGTCCGTTTGATTAAATATTTTAACAGCATAACATACTTTTGGCTGGTTTTCACACATCACATTTTTTTTGTGTTTTGTGCTAGCACACCCGCGCACTCGTCTTTTATCATCTCATCTCTATACAATAACTGAATGCAACATTATTGCGTTCGACGAAGGAGAACGCTTCCTTGCCGTGTCATATCGATATTTACGATGTCAGATTTGCCTCGTTCTGATGAGTCGTCATAGTAACTGGAGATCATGTGCTCGCTTCATTTTGAAATTTTGTTGTTAATTAAAGCATAATTAAGAGCCATCACTGTTGTTAAATCACTCATTTTACGGGTAACCTTTTTAATTACATATATGCCTGTGACGTTATAATGTTAACATTTTTGTTAATGATCGTTAACCGAAATCAACACACACTTTCCGAACGCACATCACTAATCTGTGATTACTGCTAGTATATTTTACTATAAAGCGCCTGGGAACGAGGCTGATCGTAATCCATAAGTGGGTTAGAAAAGCATTCTTATGCAAAACCATAGTAAATCCGGATAAAGTAAGCATTTTCATTCAACGTTTCGACTTTGTTTAGTCATCATCAGGAATCCTGTCTAATATCTAAATATCTAAATATCTAAAAATTAATTTGCTCAAATTTATTAGCTAGTTGTCCGACAGAGTAAAATATTTAATTTAGAAAACACCAGGAAAAACTGGTGAGTGAACAGGAAATGAGAAGTTTTATGAATTGCTTGAAAATATACTGTAATCACGCTGAAACTGGACCGCAAGACATCAGTGTACAGTAAGTGTGTGATGACGGGGGAAACTAATTATTCCATTTAGTGGTAATTGCCGGAAATTTGTCAGCTACCCCCGGTCATAAATAATGAATGGTCCCTTGTGAGTAGAATATGTGCCCAGAACGGACCTTTACAATACATGCGTGGAGTCAAAATGGACAGAAAGAACGCAATCAGACACCTATTTTCAATATAACACTTTGATCAGTATATTTAACAGAGCAAGTTGTTCTTTTTCGCTAATAATTTGACCTTTTTGATCCCCTAACTTACCGCTCGGGTTAGCTGACGTTAGCCCATTTATAAGAATCGTGTTGGATCAACCAATTGTGCGATTCGTTTTAAATCGCACTTCTATGAGTGACGTCTCAGCTGGAATCCCTCTTGGCTCTTGCTATAAAATAAAGGTAATTTTCATTAAAGATGTTAGGCTACACGGCTAATGACTATAGCGTAAAATAATATTAACACGACTCACTTGACTTAGGGCACAGTCGGGCACAACTCAGTCAATGCTTGCGGAGACTTTGGCCTTGAGGCGTGTCGGTTAAATGTCTTGTCAGCCGAATTGCTGTCGGTGAAGGTCGTGTCGATAAAACCCGCGTCTGTCGTCCAATTGTCTGTCGGCCAATCCTCCGCGCATACCGATTTCGACAACTCTCTCAGTAGAAAAATTAATAGACAAATCGTCTTCTTAAGTTCACGTAAATTATTCCACATCACGAAAACGAAGCAAAACGCAGCTAGGACCAGTTATTATGATATTTTATTTATAATTATAGTATACGGTACGTGCAAGAAATTGGATTATGTTTGGATACATGCTTATAGTGCATGAAATACATATACATATACATATTGCTAAAAGATTTAAAAAAAATTACGTTCATTCTATTTCTTATTCAAGAATGTGATTTTATAGGATAAGGATAATTATACTGCAAGGTCATATATCCAAAATATGTCGTGCTATACTCTTCATACTAGGCATCACAATGATGATTCACGTAAGAGCTGGCATCATTTAGTTCTATGCGAACAGGACGTTCCTCTGAAATTTTATTCTCGTTCCTTCTCTTCTTGAAATAACAGACCTTAATTAAAATGATTAATGAATTAATGAATTTAGCATTTCATGCAAAAGTTATTTAGAATTGAATTTAATAAAGAATTGGCAGTTAATTGGCAGTGAAGAATTGGCAGCACCTAATCAATTTATTGTTTTTCTTTCTGGGCATGTTTTTAAAAAGATTAAAAATTTAAAAACATTGAAAAGTTAAAAAGCAAAATATTAAAAACCATGTGAATGTTTTTCACCGGAAGCACATTCTTGAAACGCACTTTAATTCAAAGAAGAATTATTAAAGACAATATTCACATTCAAAATGTATTTTACAGTAAATATTGTTTTTACTTACAAAGAAAAGAATCAAGACGAGACAAATGAATCCTGCTCCTCCAATGGCAGCGGTTGCACCAATTATGGCATTCTTATCCCCCTCACGTTCTTCGTCTTTGCTTGTAGTTGCAACCGTAGCCTTAGGTGTCGTTGAGACAATTTGCTGCTCTAAAAAGGATTTATCAAAATGTAATTTGTCCAAATTGCCCTTGTCATCACTGGCATCCGCCACTGCCCTGGCAAGACTACTTGAACTGACTTGCTTATTTTCCGAGGAAAACTCAGTTTGGATATTGGCAATTACACTTCCTTCATCGAAATCAACGTCGGATATCCTCAAAAACCCAGTCATTTTTTCAAAGATGTTTATCATGGCCTTCTCTACAACACCTCTAAGGTTTTTATAATCGCTGCTATTTTTATCTCGATAGCTCGCAACAAATACATAGTTAAGAAGCCTTGCTCGAAGGGTGACAATTCTTTTTGTTGGGGTGAGTTGCGTTGATGTCACTGTACTGACAATTTTGCTAGTGGGAGACGGTTGCATATGAGAGGCGATTTCTAATTTCCCAGATGATGCATGATACATAATACTTCTTGGAAGTGAAGTGGTGAGACTTGCAGTTTGAAATAACGACGATGATTCTTGAGTCATGGCACTCGTTTGAGATGATGGTGATGGTACTTTTGCAACAATGATACTTGTTGATAATAATGATGACGACTTTGCAACCACGCTACTTGATTCAAGTCCTTGTTTCAATGTTTCTCTGACTATCGGTGGTGAGGATGTTTGCGCAAATTCGCTAGTTGCTGGGAGAGACTGTGTCGGCTGGTAATTTGTAGGACTTGATTTAATTTCTGATGATGAATGGCCAGCTACAATGCTTGTCGTTAGTAGCGTCGACGATTGTTTCATCCTAGTCGAAGTAATAAAATGTGAGCTAGATTGTACATCAGCAATGGAACTAGTCGAAGGTATTTGCGCCGTCTTGCTAGGTGTTTGAAGTGATGGTGTCTGCTGATAAGCTGTTGAATTTGATTCGAACGCCGACGTTGAGGTTGGAAAGACTACAACTGAAACAATGTGATCAATAACGACAGTCAAAGTTACTTCACGAGCACATGGCACCACACCACCGTCTTGAGCTACAACTGTTAACGAGTATTCACCAGGTTCAAGAGTACTATTCGGAAAAATTCTTCCATGTGAAGTAATGAAGAAATTTCTGTCGGGGTCTGACTCCTCTGTGATGGAATATTGAATTTGTCCATTATTTCCGTAGTCCGCATCACTCGCCAGAATATCGACCGGCAATTTGTATTTTCCAGGTAAAGTACCAATTACTGGACAATTATCATTTTCATCTTGGACGGTTATCGTAACTGTTGCCTCCGAACTTCGAGAAGGAACACCATTATCTGTAGCAGTGACCGTAAATGTAAATTGTTTTTGAGAAAGGGTCTCGTAATCTAAAACATCGTCAGCAAATACTGAGATTTCACCGCTGTCTTGGTTAACCATAAAGAAGCTCGCAAGGCTTGCGTCTTCGATAATGTATGAAACTTCCCCGCTGCGTCCATGGTCAGTATCATTTGCATATACGCTCAATACAACAAAACCTTTTCCTCGGTTCTCAGATACGGCGGCAAAATATGACTCGTTTGTGAATGTAGGGGCATTGAGATTTTTTGACACTTCTTCAGTACAGTTTTCGCCGTCATACTGTTCAAAACATTCACATTTATTCGGAGATACGCATTGTCCATTGGATGAACAGTTGTTCATATCATAACACGTCGGTGTTTCACACGATAAGCCAATCCAGTTATCATTGCATTGACACTCTTCAAAACCCATGCAAATCCCATTTCCTGTAGGGAAATTATGGTACGAGTTTGTATAAGCATAGGTATAATTTGTAAAATTCTGACAACAAGTATATTAAATACATTCATAATGGTGAACGTGCCTGGCGAGGTCGCAATGGTGCGAGCATGAAGAGAGGGAAATCATTAATTATGTCTCGTAGACTATCGATATTATTAGTAAGCTTTTGTCCTGGCAGCTCAGTAAAGTGAATTATATAATAACTACAATGAAACACGCAATTTGATTGGTTCGTATAGGCGTGCAGTATAAGACAATCCTGCACGGAAAGTTTACTTTACATCGTTTAATTGTAGTTATTTTACGGCTCGTGCTTTTTCACGCTTTCCGAAAGTCTCGCAATTTTCCGCGTGCAGTATCACGCAATCCTGCATGGAAAACCATTTAGTATTCCTGTACCAAATGACATGAATGTGAACGTCAAATAGAACGTGAAAATAGCGAATAAATCTCGATATGTCCATATATAGACGTATCACTTCATTTTCACGTCCTCTGACCTTTACGCCTTTTACGTCCTCGTGCTAAATCTTCCTATTGACTTAACAACGTGTACTGACCAGAGCAACGACTTCGTAATTGACATGAGAAATCCAGGCACATCTTCCCTTCATAGCCCGTGTTGCACGAGCACAGATTTGGTTCCACGCACGTGCCATTTCCAGAACAGTCGTTGACGTCAGAGCAATCATATTGACTGCAGTTGGATCCAACAAAGCCCAAAAAGCAACTATAAAATATACAAATCATCAAACATAAGATGAATGCTGTTAAGAGATCAAAACATTCCAAGCCTTTAAACGCACGCAGTCTTGTTTCATCAATGTATATATACGCGCATGCATGGGAGTAATCTAAGCATGATATGAATTGAAAGAACTAAATTTTAAAACTTGGAAGATAGACTACGGCATTCATTATGATGATTTTCATTCAGTTGGTTTTCATTATATTTTTTAATATTTTTGATAGTTATAATAAAAAATAGGAAAGTGTCATACGTCATGTTGGGCTACCTTTGGTAAAATGGAAAACAGTAGAGTAAAAAGATTTAGGCAGCCCGCATTTACCTGCAAATATTTGTATCTCCAGTCACGTCATTATTAAAGATGCATACACCATTATCAGTACAGTTGCTTAAATGCGAGCAGTCCAAGAAAATACTACAATCAGCTCCTTGATATCCTCCAAAACAGTTACAATAATTAGGTCCAACACACTCGCCTTTCTTAGAACATTGATTCACTGCCTTACAGTCAGGGATGGAACAACTAGGTCCAGACCAGCCACTCACGCATTCACAAGTATCAAATGCAATACAACGTCCATTTCCTACAATAATAATTATATGGTTTATTTGTGCATGCTATCAGCCTATCACACTCAGTATATAAGCATGCACGTATATGGACCTGTAAGGCGGTATATGGACCTGTGATTAACTTCAAAATAGTACCTGAGCAATAGCCTAGAGATTCACATGAAGTTACATTACATGAAGCTCCACTGTATCCAGTGTCACATTTACATTCGTCAATTCCGATACAAACGCCATTTAAAGAACAATTGAGGACGTTGTTGCAGTTTGCGATGGTAGCGCAATTTGAACCTGGGAAAAGTAATTAGATACAAAGAAATTCAGCTAAATTCAGAATTTATTTACAAGCAATTATGTAATATTTTATGGGCAAATTAGATATAAACGACATTTCATAGAAACTCAAATATGCAAAAGAGTAAGTACAAACTTTAAATAACACATTCTTTAAGTCTATTATAAACGTGTAAAGGATGCTTATTTACCTGTAAAACCTACGTTGCATTCGCAAATATCTGTTGTCTTACATATTCCATGAACTTCTGAAGTGCAGTTATCAACAGCAAAACATGTCGCTTTCTTATCACATTCAGCACCTTCCCAACCAATGTCACATTTGCAGAATCCCTCAACACACGAACCACGTGAGCAGTTTCCACAGCTGCCAATAGTACAATCATCACCTGACCAACCTTCAAGACATGAGCACGTGGCATTCTTGCAAAGACCTTTTCCTGTGCAGTCATTAGGGCAACCTGAAAACGTTTTACAGTATTTATTAAAACAGGTATAAAAGGGAAACATGCGGACGGATTTTGTCTGCTTGCGTGATTGGTTCCATCAAGCTTTTGATTTTAACTACTGAGAGAAATTTTAGAGATCTTTTATTGGGAGTCTTATGCGGTTTTGGGAGTACGAGATTATACAAAAATGAAATAATCAATATTCATACCAATTTTCAAAGACTGTTGGTCTGCGAATGAAGTGTCGTTTGTCATCAAGATGTCGAAAATACAATTATTCAAGAGAGCATTTTCCAAACCATTTCTACTGCAAACACCTTTTGCTTCCTGATAATAAAAAAGAAAGTTCCATCCTTCAAAGCCTTCTCCGCTGAGATGCAACTTTATAATCTTAATCGTGCAAATTCTTAATGGACTAGAAATTAAAATGTTACGTACTTCTACTTGGTTTTCCGGGAAGTCATCTAAAGTATACAGGGGTTTATGTCCTTCACTTGTATACGATGAATCCATTACATCTTCAGCATGGAAATTTGAAGAATTCCAGTTCCAACTGTTCACTAGACCTGATCCATTATGAGTCGCTGTTATTCGCCCTAAATAATTATTTTTGAAACAATTCATATTGTATTAATCATGTTAAGAAATATAGAAAAAATAGGACTAGTATAGCCATTCAGGAAACCAATTTAAATAAAAAAATTGCGAGCTCACATGAATCAGCAAATTGAACGGTGTCATTATATGTATACTGTTCACCATTTGAACCAATCAAATCATTGGTTTCATCATCGTCCATGAATCCACATAGACCTTCAGTGGCTTTGGTGAAGTCAGCGTTTGGTATAAAATTAACGTTAAGATAATGACGAGACATTACTGGGCTGTATTCCGCCTCAACAGACACCGTGACTCCTGAATAACATAAAAATACACTTGTGTTGATCGTGAGAAGGGAAATAGTGTGCTGCTGGTGTATGATATCCAATGTAGCGGCTAAAACCTTACATTTTAATGTCTGATTTTTTTATCTTAAAAAAATTAAATGTCAGGTGAGAATTAAGCCACCCACAAAACGCATAGCAAAATGCCTTTCGATTAACTTCAATCATAAAGGCGGTAAAGAAAGCATGAACTGAAAGTTTCAATATACATTCAACATGCTCCAAACATTTTACACGTAAAACAATATGAATTATAATAACAATGTCAATGATCAACATACTAACCAGATTTATATTGAAACGCCATGATTGTAGCCTGCACTCCATTGCTCTCAGTTCTATTTTCCGGATTCAAAATATTAAGTTTTATGGAATCGTTTGCAAATAATAGTTGTGCATCATTTCCAGAGAAATTCTGCAAGGCACCATTGATTCTGTATAAAAATGTAAAAGATATACACGTGTACAAATATTAATTATGTTAATGATAATGCGATTAAACATCCTGCATTGGTAAAGTCAAGCGTAAACCTAGCTAGTAGCTATATATTAAAAACGATTTTTTAGACTCATCAACATTTAAAAGTATTGCTTGCCTTAGCATTGGTGAGTCGCGGGGTGTGGAAACTGGTAGTGTTGTTATGGTAACGACGTTCTCAGCCACTTTAAGAGCAACTGCTCCAGTCAGAGAAGCTCCTTTATAACCAAAGAATCGTATTTGCATTCCGAAGTCATTTTTGATACTTTTGCAATTCCAGAATTCTCCAATATCAAAATAGTCGAACTCGACTCCTGTAAATTTGTAAAAACGGTGTTTTCATGTAGAACATACATTAGTATCTTGTATATTTATATATACACATGATACACAGTTACATCCTGAATCTCAGATCTCCTTGCTCTGCCCCAATTGTTGATATTGACTCTAGTAATTATGAAATGCTGAAGGTAAATACAAACCATCAAGAGTTTGTAAATGGGGATCTCCCCAGAATCGAACGGGCCTAAGTCTTTCGCAGCATCGACCTTGCCAACGCCTTCGACACGAACAACTTGACTGACAAGATGAGTCAGTCCCACAAACGCCATTTCCCGAACATCCTTAAAAATAAGACAAAGTAAAGTATCATATTAGTCAATCTATCATTAGTCAATTACCTAAACATGACTAAATAGAGAAAAAAAATTATCCTCCGTTCATAAAGACCGAAGAACATTGAAATCACCATAACAATTTTAATTGGCACCATGCTCTGCTTCATCCAATTTCCTTGTGTAAACATATATAGGACTAACCGCATGAACACCTGAAACAGACGAATTCGAGCACAGGGTGGCCAGATTACTGAAAAAAGAAGCCAAACATTGTTGTGATCGGCCCTTTGATTTCTTTGTTTAAAACAAAGAAAACCGCGATTGTGGTAATAAAATTTGGCTAATTTATTCAGTAATCTGACAACCCTGTTCGAGCACGGTCCCAAATTCATCCGGTCCGTTGCGAGCGTAATTTCATACGAAAGAAAGTGGACTTACAAAGGAATCATTGTTCAACTGATGGAGCTTTGTTTTAACACATGTTTTTTTGGGACACTCTGTAAAAGCTACAGTATTTACCTTGGCATGGCCAACAGTCAGGTTGCTGACAATTTGGTCCTCTTCGACCAGTGACGCACACTGGTGGAACACCGCAGTTGAATTTTTTTCTGCATTTACATTTTTCATCTATCCACACTGGCTCCTCTCCGTCCTCGCATACTGGGCACCTTGAGAAAATTATGGTAACAGTAAATACAGAATTGATAGAACCGTTTACACATTACGGCAGGGCTAAAATAGGTAGCGGTACCAATTTCATCCATGCTCGGCTTTTGTATTGTTATCCTGGACACTACAATAAAATTGGGTACCTTAAGCCGTGTCGTGCCAATAATTTGAATGTAGTGAAAGCAGGGTACTAAATATCGAGAATTGTCGTACCAATTTTACAGGCAAAAACATGAACGTGCATGCCATCGATCAAATCATATTTTCGATATCGGAGCAAAAAGAGCGATGCGTAAACCACTTTATTCGATAAAAATCTAGAAAGCAAAACGATGTTTTGCCCCCATTGCTTCCATTCCAGTTACTTACTTTTCCTCACATTTGCAACCAAACGGCCCACGAGTAGACTCCTGAAATCCTTTACACGAGCATTTACATGGACAGGAACCATCCCTGGCAATCGTGTCTTTGGTGCCGTCTTCGCACGGACACGAACACTAATCAAGCACAAATCAACGTATTTTCTTTCCCAATTAAATTAAAATGACATAATATTAATATTACTGACTGTACACTTTTATCGCTGGTAAACCGATTGACGGTAAGGTTCGTTAATGGGCCTCAAAATACTCTACAATAGCATGCGTTCGATTTTTGCTATTCAATCTCGATCCAAGAGCTAGTTTATATGTATTATATTATATAGCGCGATATAGCACGGATTCCACACGGAAATTCAATTGCATAACAACATAATTATACGTACAGCAAACACTCAATGTATCCTAGGTATCCCATGTTACCGCATGACCGATAATAATAACTGCATGATTATTGACCGAGCGTGAGGTCTGTACTGTGAAAGATCAGACCGAGGCTTTTCGTATGGACTGAGCTTTTTGGTATGGAAGGAGCGAGGTTCATGCAAAAAACCTAGGTCTGATATTTCACATTACAGACCAAATAAGCCAGATCAATAATCTGCTTATTATACGGCTGAACTGCATGGAACATCCGAGATATTGGTCCAAACTCCAGATACAGAATATACAGACGACGGTCCGGATATGCATAGGTTTTTACGGCAATATAATAATATATCATGCATATGCATACAACTGCAGTGAAATGACACCAACAAACTAATACGGCCATATACTTCAACGTTTTGTACTAATGATCTTACAGATCTCTTCACTAGTTTTTTAAATTATATGACATTTATAAACGTTGAAAAAACGCAATTATAGCATTGTGCTGTTCTAGCTCAATTACCGGGCAGGAGCCATCGAAATTCATTTCTTTTTCGGTGTTATCTTTGCACAAACATGGACATCCTGGTTTGTTGCCACTTCTTTTTCGTTTCACGGAATTATCAGGACACATTTCACAGTTGCAAGAACCATCTGGCATCTAAGAAGAGAAAAGAGTAATTTCTAATTCGCCCAAATGTGGCCGTCCAAATCTCGACATGACCTAACAATCGCCTCCCGAAGTTATCCCAAGTTTTGAGGTTGTTGGTCATAAGGAACTTCCCAAATCTGCTGCTTTAAATAGCTCTAGACGACATGAATTTGCAGACGAGTAAGAACAAGTACCTGAAAGCGATTTTTTTAAAAAACTAATATAAGTTACAATTAAGAAACCATGTTACGGACCAGTATTGTTAAAACAAACTTAACAGGCCATCTTTTGCTGATTTTTGACAAATCTCGGAGACTACTCGTTTTTTGGGACACCCGATATATAATTTATAATATAGCTACTCGCTGTATATGAGCTATTCCGCAATCTGATTGCTCGAGCCACCCACCGTATATCAGCTCGTATACGGTGGGTAGCAAAACCTTAGAAAAGCAAAACGGCTTACAGATTTGCTGAGGTTAATAAAAAAGAAATTGACAGAATTCTGGAGAGTGCTGTCTCCAGAAACACAATCAATATTTGGCTCTATTATAAAACAATTATAGGCCACTCGCTCTCGTCATATATGGCTGATAGCCGACTTGGTTCTACGCACCTCGTTGGCTATCAGCTCATATACGACTCGAGCTCGTGGTATACTTGTTAAATATGCTGACTTTATTTCGCAACTAAGTTTCACATTGAATTTGTGCTTGTTTTGTTAAATCAGCTAGCTTTTCGAAATGAATTAAGCTTGGCCATCATTTTTATAAACATACCTTTACACCTTTGGGTGATGATGAATCGCCTGGAATGGAGTCACATTCCTCTTCGCAGTCTTTAGTTTTTGGATCAATCCTGCCAGGTTTGCCATTTTTAATGCAACATGGCACTTTAGCCCAACCGGTAGAGAAACAATCACTATAATATATTCAAACAATTAAATCATGACGCCTATTCAATTCCAAGAAGTACGCAGAAGCATTTCGAAACATGTTTAAATGGATGATAGAGAAAATGTATGTATAATGTATGTAAAATTGTAAATTATGCATTCTATGCACTAATGTCACCATGGCAATCTATTCAGTCATTGTTACGCCCAATTCAGTCAGCATTCGAAAAGATTTTTTCTCCACCTTTTAACGGATTCGTACACAGAAATTTCAAAAATTTTCCAATTTTTATTAAATGGTCCAATGTTGATGGTTAGAGACCCGGAGACTGTGGGCAATCCTCCACGGAAGTTAGCTTCAACGTTTCGGCCCGCGTAAGGACATTTTTCGGTACAGAATTTTGCATCCACCGATGCAGTGATTGGTGCTGTTAATTTGAAGACGAGGAGCGATGGAAGAGTCGAGCCTTTTTTACTACCTAAAATGAGTAAGTGATTTGAAAGCTAACAATAAATTAATGTGAAAGTTCATTTATGACCATTAGAGTTGCGAGCAAAATTACATCAGGGCTTATGCTTAATTTCCTTATTTTGATAGCAATATAATAGCATCGCCATCTTGACTACATTTTAACCACTCTTTGGTTTACAAGATTTTACAGAGTATTACAATATACCTAAAATTGTGCGAAGAAGCCATCCTGCCGCCTGGAACGGTTTTGAGGTCACCGATGGCCAGTGGACTTCAAAAGTTGGTGTAAGAGATGCTGAGACGGACGCTGATGCTTTTTTTATGCGTGCTTCAAACGACGGTTGCGTTGACCCTCCCTGCATGTAGATGAGATTTTATATGATGCTGAACATCTGTAGCAGTAACGAAACTTAAAAAGTTAATGCTGATCGAAATATAAACATTAAAGCTCAACATAGTGCTTTCAGTAAAGCCATAAAAGACAATTTAAACCATTTGAGAGTAATAAAAATATATTGATAGTAACGTTTCGTCTTAATTTAAGACATCTTCAGACTAAATGATAAATTACATGATAATTTGAATATATAGACTAGTAATATATTTACAAGGTATCAATTTACAAAGGGTGATAACAAGGACAAAGTGAGGATGAAACAGTACATGAGAGGACAAGGGACAGAGACGTCACGACACGATGACAGTACGAAGTAAGGACTAAAATAAGTTGATAGGGATAGAAGTTAAGACAAAACGTTACTGTCAATATATTTTCTTTACTCTCAAATGGTTTAAATTGTTTTTTATGGCCTTACTGAAAGCACTATGTTGGGCTTGAATATTTGTATTTCGAATACGCTTCTCGCCCGGCACGTCTCTGGCAACAGTATTAAATAATGCTGATCGATAAGATATTTTTCTAAAAGTTCAACAAAACAAGTTGAACTTGTTGATTTCCAACCGCGCAAAGACAGTCAAAACGTCCTGTAGATTCCTGCTGAGGAAACATTAATTTTAACAATCAACATTAAAAATTAACAATTAACAATTACGGCACAAAATTGCCCTGTAGACAGTCGGTATAAAACTAGCTACTTCATGTTTCATGGAGTTTAATTTAAGATAACGAAATTTTACATACGAATTTTATGAAATCCGACTATATACTGTGTTTTAAATAGTGGTTTCGGTGTGAAATATCACCAATATATATTTGTACCTTATCAGATTTAGGCCGAACATCATTCCCTCCACTCCATTCACCGCCTGCTGATATTGAATATTCAGATTGCAAACTTGCGGATAACGAAGCGGAAGCCTTAAAGAAGAGAAAATTATCATTCATGGCCAGAAAATTCAGACATATTTAACATTCTACTTCTGCCTAAATGTGTACAGGGTGTCCCAAAAAAATGTCCCCCCTATTGAAATAAAGCTCTTGTTGAAATTTGAATGCATGATCAACGCAGCAGTGTATGTGTAAATAGCATAGTTATCAGGTTGAGGCATTGAAATAAAGCGTATTGCTTTCTATTGGGTTTATCATAATATTAAGGCAATCAGATTCTAACAAAGGCTTGATTTCAATAGTGGGGACATTTTTTTGGGACACTTTGTATAATTTTTTATGCTGTCAAAGTAAAACGTCGTGGGTTTATAGCAAACTGTACTGCATGTGCCCAGTGCTAAACGCTAAAAATAAAGCTTTTGGTAGGTCGATTATAATTTGCCTGAATTACTCGTTACAGAGCAAGTTTATCTTAACGTTTTGACACAGTATTTCACTATATTCCTCCTGCATTTTCAAGCCAAAGTTTTGGTCATTTATCACGTTGAATACCGCAAAGTCCGTATAATACGAATGACGTAATACCATAGAAATAAACTGAAAATGCAGAGCCGACATAAATATTTCCCAGCAAAATTTTACCTTAGGAGCTTTAATATCGCACAAGAAACAACCATTATAAAGATAAAATTATTTCCTAAAATTTTCCTTATAATATGCAAATTATTACGGCAATCTGCATATTCCATGATGAATAGATGAGTTCGAATATCCTTCAAAACTGGCAATTTTTCAACAGATATCTTAAGGTCGATCCCATGATACTTACCGAAGCGGAAGCAGTTGCAGAAATTCCAATATCCAATCTAAACACTCCGGGTACACGCACTAGGCCTAAAGGTATACAGAAGCGGCCAACTTCCTTGCTGTCGATCAGTTTTCTGCTCCACGTTTTTGAAAACCTTGAAAATGATTTATGAAAATGAAAGTTAATATATATTAATATACTGTTTAACTCGGTTTATATAAAGGTAACATTTCCTTTTCCTTAAGTGCATGTTATATCTCGAAAGAAACGATTTTTTACCATTCAAAACTCGGTGCTTCTGTTTACCTGACTGATGGATCGAAATTAGCGTTCAGGCTTAATTTCATATCACCAGAAAAGGTGACCCCGACTGACTTAATCAGAAAAAAAAAAGTGCGAAGACTGATTTTCACTGCAGCATTAAACTCGACGCTTGCACTCAGTTTAAGATGTTCACCGAACTGTATAAAAAAAAAAAAAAATATATATATATATATATATATATATATATATATATATATATATATATATATATATTTGCTGTACATTGAACGGGTGTGGGAAATTTTCGCATGCTAAAAATGTACGTTGACTTAGAAAATAAAATATACACCAGTACACAATTCGTGCATGCCTAAGTCAACGATACATATAAATTGTACTCGATTTTTTTACGGTATAATATAGATAAAAGACATAGTATGCTGCGGCAATCTATTTGAGGTAACTGCATCCATGAAAATTTTGCAAATATCTGCCCGAGTCGTTATTAACTTGATTGTATATACTCGTTCATGTTTTTCTTTCTTAAAATTCCCTTTCCCTGTGAAGTCATATTCCGCCCTTTTTCGCCGACGAGGACTGGTAGCACTGATATTGAATTGTTCCTTGATATTTCCATCTTTTACTGAAACTAGTGGCATCAACTCCACAAAATAGGTTTCATTCTCCACGTAAAAACTAAGGACCTAAAACGAAGCCAAAAGGTACAGCTAGTGACTTAATACAAAAGTGTGTGAAAAAATTGATAGAAAGTTACAATAAATGCAAAAAATGTTTGTTTGTTGAAAAATCATTGCATTTAAAAATTCATTGCAGTGATAAAGGTCCTGGTTAACGGCCAAAAGTTCTTCATAAAACTAATTCAAGCGATGTTTTCTACAAATTGATGATTTGTTTGATGATCTCATTTCTATGTATAAATATTTCTATGTGTAGATATTTTGCTAAGACGCTAGCGAACCATTTTTCCGCAAGTCAAAATCAAACATATATGTATTTACATCGAATTATTGTTAATAGGATATGAAGGCTCTACTGTCACATTACTGCGCATCATGGAAACTCACACTGCATGCGCATCATGGAAATTATACAATTGATTTGTTTGAATACGCAGGCACGAAACGTCCGTACAAATACGAAATTTGGCATAAAATGACCTTACTAGACATATGAATATCGTATAAGCGTACGGGAGGCGTTATCATTCAACCAAAGCTGAGTGCTACTTCATATTGCATTAATTCAAAATTTAAAAGATTCAAAAGAAGTGAGAGAAGTCATTTGCAGATATGTATTTTTTTGATACATGAACACTTAGTTAGCCACGAGTCTATTTTGGGGAGAAAACAACGGGAGGTATATAAAGATATTTATCGAGGAAGAATGCCAGGTACAAAAACTGCACTGCTAATGAAATGTAACGTTCTACTGCCAAAGATTGATTGATTATACAATTGAATTTACTTACTTTCCCAAAAAATGCACCACTTGTTCTCCCAACGATTATATCTCTGACCGTGACGTTCGCATCATTTCCTGTTATCTTTAAGCCAAGAAGATCGTCTCCACCCAAACAAGAGCTAGTTGACTTCCTAAGGTTTTAAATCTAGAAACATATCGTGAAATCATGTGAGAATTTAATAACTTACGTATACAAAATGTTAAATTTTTGATAATATATAATTATATGGAAAAAAAAGAAATAGAAAATGAATTTCAAAAACTCATTAATAATTCATAAGCATTTCAGCCTTTGAAATGAACCATAAGAAGTCATGTGTGGTGGCTTTATACACGGTAAAGTATTATGAATGCTATAATTAGGATGGCACATTATATAATTTGTCACGTTCATTATAGTATTCTTTAAAATTATAATGTTTCATCCTGACTAGCATTTGTATACATGGAGTAAACTTATTCCTCGACAACAATGCGGTGTATTTGAAGTAATTTAAAACACTCGAACTCGCGTTTTACTCACGCTAGCGCTCGAATTCACACTCCTTCTTGCGTTTTAAATACTACTAAAAACCATAGACAATCCAAAAGACAACAATGTCAATGTTTTTTGGATTGTAAAACACCTTCACTAAAACTAAAATGTCATATTTGAATTCTATTATATGGGTTGAACTTAATTGGCTACAAACGTCAATAAGTAAGAACTATAGGGCAGGTTTATAGCGTCAGGATCATTTAAACTATTTACGGTGTCACGCAACCTACAAAACTGTGTCGACATACTTTGAAAATCATGTTTATGGCGTGCAGAACAACGTCGTCTCTGTCCGTTTTTTTTAGCAACGGGCAGGGCCGTAACTAGAACGATAATTGGGGGGTGTTTATTCATACATTCAGTTCTGCCCGACGGATTTTTTTTGTAAGTGCAATAGCTCACAATGGAAATCCGTCGGGCAGAACTGAATATATGAATAAACACCCCCCCCCAATTATCGTTCTAGTTACGGCCCTGGCAACGGGAAACGTATCAATTTGATATTAAAACCAATTACAATAATCACTGTCGGAAAGGTTTTGTGGCACTACGGTAACGGCCATAAGTCAACGGAAACGTTCAGCTTGCTACTAAACGAGGATTTATATACATGCATGCAGGTTGGCTTACCGCTTACGCGCGGCTATTAAGATATCAAGTAGCTATACATACTTCTTCAAATTTGAAAAACTGTGGCTACACGTCGTCAGTTCAGTATAAACAAACATGGCATCGTCCTCTTGAATAATGTCAGTAACGGTCTCTAGAAAACCGTCGCTGCTATTGCCAACAAGAACATGACCAACACTCAAATTTCCATCGATGGATGTCATGGGAATGACCAAGAAGAAAGTTGTGACCTCTTCATCATCCTCAGTCGTGTAGGTTCTTGCTAAACATTTGTATACGTTGTTGCCTGATCCTAGCAGATAAGGTAAGCATTTCAATTTCATCTTGGATTTAGAAAAAAAATTAAATTTGAAACTATAAAATCATAATTACTAAGAAATGCGCCAATAAAGTTACCAATATTATAGATGTACCTGCTAGGTACCGCAAAATCTGTTAGCTGAAGCAGCTTTTTATTGCAATTGCATTCAAGCGATAATCATGCTAGTAACAATTGTGAAACCCACCAGTAAAAATAGTATGTATTTTTGTTCCGTTAATTGGGGAGTCTCCTGAGAGAACATCTTGCAATAAGCTGTCATCAGGACGGTCTTCAAACAGGTCTTGAACTAACACGGTCTGAAGTGGAACCTCTTGATTGAAATCACTGTAGGAAATTGCCTCCTCCAGTCTTGCTGGAATTACGCTCATGAGAACATGTTGATCTATAGAAGAAATTACAGGGCTGTGATTTTTGAAAAATAACACGCACGACGTACCCAAAGATTTCTCGTCTTCAAGCGGTACTTGCATGGAATGATAGGTTTTAACATCATACTATTCTTATATATCGCCAGGGCATACAAAAGATAAAACGGTGAAACGACATGCAATAAAATTAAACCATACTCGGTTAAACTATGCATGGTACAGTGCGTCTACAATTTTTTAATTATTTTATATATTCCCCTGCTAGGTACTATTATAACACGAAAACCCCTGACCTGTGTATGCGATATCTTCTATTTTGTGAAACACTCCCTCTGCTTGCGTGCTTGATATGATGTCTCCTTTTTTGAATTTTATGCTGCTTTGTTTTGTCACAATAACCAAGTTCTCTTCAACTGGACAACCATATAATTTCAAGTCATCGGAATTGATTAGTTTTACATTTGACATCGTTACGACTTTGTCAATCCGCGAAGTGTCTTCGTAGTCCTTCTTTACAAATCCTTTCGCACATTTCCTTTCGTCCCACCCATAACATCTTGGTGATGTGGAATTGTCCTGAACGCAGATTCGAAACTTATTATAATTGTTTAATTAATCTTTCATGGTGTAGTATTTTAAATTTTAATCTTCGTGTTTCTAGATTGGCGTTTTATATAAAATACCATACTAAAGTTCATGTAATTTTATACCACTGTAATACGATTGAAGTGGTGTAAATTTTGGGGGATCAAGTAGATTTAGTTGGGTTTGGGGGTGAGATTTTTTACACTATCGAATATAGGGTTACATTTCCTAACCCTTAAAAAAACCCAAAATTATTTTAAAAAAAGACTATATATTTCCGAAAATAGTTTTAAATTATATTCCCGTAGCCCAGGCTCATTCTAGCTCCTCGCAAGAATGATTTTCATTTGCTGAACTTTACAATACATTTCTGTTTCAACCAATAGCAAAGCTTCGTTCTTTAGAAAGCATAGAAAAGCATTAGTCCAATTGGACGAAAACTTCCGAGCTCTGCGACATGTCCCATGCAGCCCAGGTGGTGCCTGCAACACTGCAGCCCTGGGCAAATTGCCCCATTCCCCGCTCCCCTCTGGGCGGCCCTAACTTTATAGCCTTACCATCCATAAATGCCAAATGGTAGGCAATATTGGAGAACATGATCTTAGCATAGTAACCAGACATTCCGACTAAAACACATGGCCAGAAATTGCGGACATGGAATATGCAGATTGCCTTACATAGGAAATTTGCATATCTGTTCAAATATTATTCGTTTGCAGAACTATAAATTATATTGCGCATTCTTCAATTTCGCAAAATTTAAGAAAATCATTGCATCTTTGCAATTTGCCCTGGTTGTTTCTTGTAATTCGTGTCATATTAAAGATCCTGAGGTAATACTTTGCTGGTAAAGGTTTATGTCGGCTCTGCATTTTTATTTTATTTCTACGCTATTACAGTTTCGTTTTATATGGTATTCAACGTGATAAATTTTGAAAATGCTGGACGAATACTGATAAAACATTTTGAAATACTGTATTTGCTCTGCAACGAGCAAATAAGGCAAATTATAATCGACCTACCTAAAGGTGTATTTTAGCATTTAGTACTGTGCACATTACAGTTTACTATAAACTCACGAAGCTTTATTTTGACACCATATGCAAATTTAGGCGGAAGTAGTGTGTTAATTATGTCTGAATTTTCTGGCCATGAATTATGATATAGCTAATAAAGTGATCAAAATCATACTGTATTGTTGTAATTATAGCAGCGTTCCAAATCCTTGCATTGCTGACAACTTCCTTTGTTTGACCGCGACTGGTCAGGATTGCACAAATTTGTGCTGCAGTCGATAACCTGTAATGAATTATACAAAATAATTGATACGTATAAATACACAGACGCATCCGTGATTAATGTTTCCAATCGAATATATTTTTTAAAGAATAGCATTTCAAGTACGGCAATATAATATATAATTACAATTACAATTTTTTAAAATGAATAAGTTGCTACTTCAAGTTTCATGCAACAAGCAATCATCAGGCAACTAATTTATATATTATATATATATATATATATATATATATATATTATATATATATATATATATATATACGTATTTCGCTCGCCTGCGCTTTTATTAACTACTCACTTTTATAGCACTAGAACATGACGGATTTCGTCCAACACTAATACAGTTGTGATAAAACCACGATTTGCAGTGGCCAATGTCTGCTTTATAACCTGTACCAGGTAAACATCTCCCTGTGTTGTCGCACCAACCACATCCTCTGCGTGAGAGACAACTTTGACAAGTTCTGAACGGCAGACAATAACTAACAGTGCAACCACGACCCTAAAACAATATACAAAAATATTGTATCATAAGAGACACATGAATACTTCTTTTAAATGTATCGGAAATGTGAGGAAAGAAAAGAAATAGATTTATTGCGTACTCACAGGGTGTATAAAAAAATGTACTCCTTATTGAAATGAAGCTTCGGTTGGAATTTTAATGCATGATTATATAATGCACTGGTAAATAGCATAGTGATTAGGTTAAAGCATTCAAATTGAGCATCTCGTTATACATTTTAATTTAATAAGCACCCGTGAGTTTAGCATAATAATAAGTCATTCGAACAAAAGCTTGATTTTAATAGTTGGTACTTTTTTTAAACACCCTGTATATTACATTAAAATATAATATTTTATTATACCACTGCTTCAATTATATATTTGTTTTTTAATTTTCAACTTTTAATTAATTTAAATTTCGATAGTTTAAATTGTTGCCGCCTAATTATATCCAACGATTCAAATGCCTTGACATACAACCATCGATTGGACTAACCTTCCATCCTAAACGACATTTACAATGATTTGGTCCAACGCAAGTTCCAAAGGTCCCACAATTACCAACATCTTTACAGTGATATGACGAACAATCAGCTCCTTCCCATCCAGTATCACACTTACACGTCTGTCCCAGACAAATTCCGTTGAGGGAGCAGTCATTGATACAACGAATACCTATATAAGAAAGAAACGTTTATACTTCAATCGCATTAGGATAAAATATCTTCTATAAAATCTCTTTTAAATCTCTTTCAATTTACTCTTAATACCTTCGGTTCCTTAATTCATGCCCTAAAATTTATATCATTGAAGTAACCCGAGAGAGAACGAAGTTGTCAGTTCTTGTATTAAGGCGAAGTTAAAGGAGCTCCGTTTTATTCCCGGCAACCAATTTCTGACATGCATTTGGGCCTTTGTTAGGGCTAATTTATATATATTTCTAGTATTAATATGTTTGTTGCATGCATGGATGTATCTTAATTAGATATCTTAAAGTATCTTAATTTTCAATTTTGTTATTTTGATATACATTATATATATTTTATAAACGATGCATATGGAACATACGTTTACTCTTTTCGCATATTGTTGGCTTCGTTATGTCACATGAAGCTTTTTTTATATTTCCATCGAACATCCAACATCTATTATTCTGGAATGGAATCGCATCCTTGAAAAGAACAGATGGATATATTTAATTATTTTATGGCTTTTCAAAATCCTCTGATAATCTGATTGGTTGACGAGCGGTCGGAAAAATCCATATCAATTGACCGTAACGAAAAAGATGGCGGCATGTACATTTTACCAGAATGCATTGCGGGCATTAAGAATGATTGACTGAAAAAAGATGGCAAGAAAAACTCCTTATGACGTGAAATTTCTACACAGCGAAGAAAATAACTTCTTGTTTTATGCCTGTCCTTTAAAATACGTCAGTTCATTTTTTTTAACGATTTCCGACCGCAATGCATCCTGGTAAAATGTACATCCGCCATCTTTTTTGTTATGGTCAATTGGACCGTGATCCATATATTCCGTCACTGGACCAGCACTCCGAATGTCTCATGCATTTCAGCCCATAAACTGTAAGTAAACTGGAACGCTAACTCCTGACAAACATCCGCATATTAGCTTGAAGCCAAAATAGTTTTAAGAGCTGAATTGTTATGAGCTGAAATACTTGACGCCAGACATTGGGCTGTGTGTCAAAATTAAAGTTATTCAAAAGTTATATTTGTTGTGGAAATTTCAAGACTTAAGCTACAAAAGAAATATAAAAAAAGCAAAAAAATTACCAACCGGCAAGAAACTGGAGAATTTTCAAATATTTTTTACATATTTTTCTTTTTTACATATTTTCCTTTAGAAAACCGATTATTGAACTCACTTGTACTAAAATCCTCCGTCTGATATTTCACAGAATCCAGACATCAAACTCGGTCAATAATACATGCACATACATAAAATTTGGTGGGGAATATCGTGTAAAAACAACAGAAAATTCTTAATAACAAAGGAAATAAATTAAATACGCGAACAAAATTTTCAAATTTGAAAATTTTCGTTGTTCTAAAATATATATGCTGAAATTTTGCCATAATATATATATTATTGCCGCAACGCAGGTGATAAGCTATTCTGCTGCCGTGATATATCTATATACTGATGTTTTGAATTGTGACCATCAGTTTTGAAATTGGTTTATATTTTATAAACTAATGTTACTAACTGCTTTCGTGCACCATATCAATATAGCTACCTCTTTAAAGACGTCGATCCAAATACTTGATCGTGTTCCATATGCCCATTTTGCATGCAATTTTTGCAACACTTCCGGTGAGTCAATTTCATTTTCGTGAAAAGCAAGCATTTTCCCACCAATTTTCTATAGGTTGTAAAGTAATGGAATAAAGAAATCTATGAATTATAGTATAATTTCCTTGAGACATGCAGCTTCCTTGCATGAGATTAATTCTAGCTGAATTACTGAAATGCCCTTACGATAAAACTGAATAATTATACATAAGTAAATTATATAAATATCTCAACTGTCTAGTGCAGTGCATGGAGTTTCAAGTTTGCATAAACGTCGCCCGCAGCCAGGGGCGTAACTAGACCGATGATTAAATAATGAATATTCATATATTCAGTTCTGCCCGACGGATTTCTATTGTAAGCCAATCAATGATAAAAATGTTTTCTAACCTTGCACATTTCTTTGGACTTCGTAAAACTATGAGGACTTCTAAGATTATTGTAGCATTTCCTGCCAATATTTATCCAACCAAACGGGCATAATCCTAAAAGAGAGACAAGCTTAATTAATCAATCAACAACGTTTACTCTGGAGAACTTACTTATATTTTGATTCATAAAAGACGGTAAATAATAATTTGAAACAACCTCAATTTTCGTCATAACTGAGACTCGTTTTATTAATTTGAAGGTACGCCGCGAATATTTTTTTCAATTGCAAGGCTTTCGGTAAGGAACAATGGTCAATCACCGAAAGCTTAACACTAAAAATATACGCCGTGCACCTTCAAAAATGTTTCCTTATTTAGCCATTGAATTGCAAGAAGACACCATTTTTTAAATCGATATCACAAGTCCGTAGTAAACTGTCAAAACCTGGCAATCGGTCTAGCTAAATAAGTAACGCAAAAGTGAGAAATTACCAAATTACACAACAATCCACACAAACGTACAATTGTACGTTCCAGTGGCGTCGCCAGCATCGATAGTGGGGTGGACATATTCATATATTCATATTGACAGACCGATAAAACAATCAATTTGAAAAGAAATGAATAATATAAAACACGAATATATGAATAAGTCCCCCCCACTTATCAAGCTGGCGACGCTACTGGTACGTTCTAACACACAAAACCTAACATGGGCATACAAAACAAATTTATAGTAAAAAAATCTAACCAGGTATCTAAATCTCGTCTTGTAACGTAGAGCCGTTCGCATTTCGCTTTCGGCATCAGCATATATATGAACTGCACCAGCCTATACATACTAACTTTACAATCGGTTACTTGCCTGTTGAAAATATGAGTGTTGGTGTCGTTAAGAAAGGTTGATATATTACACGTGGCAATCCGACAGCACTTCTTTTATCCTTAATTTTCCTCATGATCACGTTGGGATTCACGTTTCCCCACCAATTATTTGTGGCATTTACGAAATTAGTAAAACTGCTTGGCAGAGTACTGATTTCGAACAGATTAGCCGGGTTGATTAAAAAGTTTTCGTTAATAAATTCACGACCGTTTGGTTGAATCAGCAGTGTATGTAAATATCCCTTATTCAAAAAAAATATATTTTTTGGTAGCGATAGGCGAGATGTTTCGGTCTTTTGAATTAATAAAATGAAATGGAGTTTCTGCATTGTTTTCGTAGAACACGTTGTCTTTAACGATTGCATTCATGTTTTTGATTACAACCAGTCCATGTGGGTAAGAAATATCGTTTCGATTAAAGTAGTTTCCAGCCATTAGAAGTTCACTAGACGTACCACTTCCAACAACAACTACATAAACGGACTCGCTGCCATTGGCATTACCGGAAATGACGTTATTAACTATATTTATCACTCCTGGTTTATCGTAAAGGTAGATGTGGATCCCCCTCGACTGACACTGGAAAATACCGTGTTTGAGATCTCTACTGTGTCGTTGTTTTTAACCAACATTTCAATTGATGCCGTATTTGGTTTTTTTGTTTCCTTGTAAAGTCACGTGGCTACGTTTAATCGTTACTGTGCTGGCGAGTTCAGGATCTGAAGTGTAATGAACCGCTGAACCAGAAATTTCTTGAAAATTACATTCTTCAATATTAACGTTGATCTCCGGTTTCTGCTTGGATGTCCCTTAAAAATATATTAAATTGGATCATTTGAAAGGATATAAAATATCACTTTTGGATTCCATGCAGGCCCAATCGTTTACTCGATACCTATGTACAACTCCCTATGCCAATGGCTATCACTGCCAAAAGCACGGCATGAACCAAACAAAAAGTTGCTATAATTCCCCTATAAAGTGGGGGGAGTCATGCCCGCCTAAAAAGTGAAATGGGAAAAATGGTGAAAACATTTATATGGTCGAAACTAAATATATTCTTTTTGCCTTTATTTACTAAGAAACGGGATAAGCAAATTGCAAATTTTCTTCTAGTAATAGTTGTGAACAAGTAAATTAATGTAAGGAATTGACAGTGTCATATCAAAAATAAAGAACTCTCCTTAAATTATGTATAACAAAACTCGCCCGCATGGTCTGATCTAAAACATTTTAAAACAATGATGAAGCAATCATTACCATCCGAGTGGTCAATGGGATTAAGACGGGAGTCAAGAAAGTTGATGGATCAAAATTCAAAAAATACAAAAGTTTCTCACCTGTTTGACCAATGACTTTAATTTCAGCTAAAAATCCTCTCAATGTTGATATGTCTGCCTCTATCAACACTGAATTTGATGGAATCACAATAACTTTGTGTTCATATTGATTAACGTTCCAATCGTGCATGCTTGCGATTGTCGAGGAACGATCACCATTATAAACATTTACAGTGTACGAACTTCTCACCCAGGATAGCAGTCGGAAATGAATTGTTGTATTGTTCGGAGATGATATTTCTAAACCACAAAATATGCCTGTAATTGTATCCTTTTCACTTAGATAAATATATGATTCATCGTCGACGTAGACTTTTTGAACGGAATTGCACAAATTGTGGCCGAGATACGGATACATGAAGGTGATGTTTTTAATTGGGGCAATAGCTATCCCATGTTGCTTTCCTCTTTCAAATGAACACCGGGAGATTGAAACTGATCCTTTGTTTCCCAGAATCGATATTGCTGGAAATTCCAAACTGCTCTCGAAAATAACATTTTCTAGCGCCATTGTACGCCTTTGCGCAATAATTTCAATCCCGTTACTTTCACTGATATGAACATTTGTCATTAATGGGGAACGTCCTATAACCTGGATAGAAGACACAGCTTGCCCATGCAATGTACTCGCATCGTTAATGAAAATATTTTCTAATGACGACTGTTCATTTTGTCCTTTATAACCACTACTCGAATTGACGATGTTTCCATGGACAATGCGTACACCGCCCCATTTATAATTCCTTTCACATTCGAGAAATACGTATTTATAGGCATACCAGCTGTAGCCACAGTGACTAACACTTTGGTTCTTGCAGTTGAATAGAGAAGTTTCATTACCACGACAGTTCAAGGAAACTTTGTAATGAGGATCAGTATTGTGGGATCTTCCATAATGATTAATGTATTTACCATAACCCAATTGCCTGCAGGCCACTGTCCCATCTTTTGAAGTAAAGTAATAGTAACATACACTCTGCCAAATTCCATCAACAAGAACTTCCAGTTTTCCTTTATATTCTTCATCTCCTCCAAAAAGTCGGACCCTACTATGTGACCTAACTTGGCACTTATTTTTCAAAGAGCAGAACTTTATTTTTTCATTCGTTGTTCCACGGGCGATGATATTTCCAAGAATTAGCAAACCAATGTGCGGTTTAAAGTACAATTGAACGCCTGGCTCAATATCCAGTGTGGCGTTTTCGGATATTGTTAAATCATTCATAACGACATATGGACTGTTTACTGTTGTCAGACGCAGAGAAGAAGGCAAATAACCACCAATATTGGATCGGTTCAAGTATGCATGTATCTTTTGCTTTATAATTGTCGTGAAATTCCGTGTAGCAGCAGCTGGAAGGTACTTTATTCTTGGTCTGTCATTCCAATTGTCAGCGTGAAAAATTCTTTCCGTTAAGTTTTCGCTGGATGACGTGCCCCAATAATTAAGTGTAGCATCAATTGCATTTGAAAAGTAATTCGTACCGCATGTACGTCCGACAAACAACTCTTTCTTCATTTTCTCGTTATTGAAAATATTCCCATGAATATCATAATTGCTAAACATGCATCCAAAAAGCCCAACCGTGTAAGATGTGACACCAGCCTCAATATATCTCTGTTTATTTGAGGGAACGGCTTCATTTTGTTCCAAAATGTTGTTTTTTATCACAAACGTTTGCGGCATCCGATTCGATTCAAAATCAACTTTTATCATAAAGGAGCACTTGTTTTTGATAAAGGTATTGTTGTTGATAGTGGTGATTATACTTCTTATTCTTTTGCCATAGAAGCCTATTAACCCATCTCCTGGTCGAAGAGAGTTGTTTACAAAAATGTTATTTCTAATTGTGATTGGGGTTTGCAAACTGTCCACGGAATAAGCCCCGTAACTCAACAGCATTCCCCAATTCTTAAATATTAAGTTCTTGTCGAGGGAAAGTGAAAAAACTCTTTTGATGGACTCTGATAGATATATATTGAACCCAATATTACGAGTATGTGAAATGCTGCATTCACTGACATATAAATTGAGTAGCGACGAATAATCTACCTCAGATATTCTTTCGTTTTCGAGTATGATACAACGGTGAAAAGTTATGAACGTTATTTGCCGGCGTGGGTAATAATAATCAGTATAACGGACATAGATCACAGAGCGTCTCATTCTTCGGATAACGCAGCTCTCCAGTTTTTGGTGATTTGAGATAGATATTGGAAATAAATCACCCACATGATCACGATAATTTCTTAGGTATATAGCATAATACCCATCTGTTATAGTACAATTGTCTAGAGAAAGATTTGTGGAGCGATATTCGCTATAAATGCCATGATAATTATCCCTCAAGGTAACATTTTGCAGTTTAAGATCTTTTGTACGACTGCGGCGATATTGTCGTATGCCATAATAATTATTGACCAGCAAGCCACCAACTAAAATTGCAGTTCCAAGTTCAGTTTTCAATAAGGACGCCTCGTTTTCTAAACAAAATATGCAGGGTCAAACTAATTGTGGTTTGTTTCAATATAACCAGGGAGCAGCGTGGCAACATCTTCAAACAACTTAGCATCAAATGAGGTATAAAAACTGCCTAAAATAGACAAAACACTTCTCGACGTTTCGCGCGACCTGAGGGTCTTCGTCAGAAGAGTTAGTATGATCATATTATAGTCATACTAATTCTCCTGACGAAGGCCCTGAGGTCGAAACGTCGAGAAGTGTTTTGTCCATTTTAGGCATTTGTTATACCACATTTGATGCCAAGTTAATTGCAGTTTGTCCCATTCTATGTCCTACTAGTGAGACGTACGTGAGGGATATGAAAATTTGATATGGATGTCTTATACTCAACTAATCTCTAAGGTAATCTAAATATTAAAGCAGCGAAACATTACGTTTCCTATAGTCTCCTTTTCAATTGAGAATAATGTTGAATCTTAGCCAAGTATAGTTTATTTAAACCTGGTATGGGGCTCAAAATTGATTAGGGTGCATGAAGAAGCGGTTATCGTTGCGTTTTCACCAAATATATACATGAAGATGCTAAGTGTAAGTGCAATACAAGATTTAGGGGCAGTTTACATGAGCCCGGTTACCCGAGATTCAACGAAGCGTGAGAGGACTTTGAGGTATTGAAATAAGTCTTTATGACACCAAACAAGCACATGCTATTGTTGTGGTGATTATACGACTACCAGAATCATGTTATCTGCTCATCTCAATACTTCAAAATCATCTCACGCTTCGTTGAATCTCGGGTAACCGGGCTCATGTAAACAGCCCTTAGGGCTGTTTACATGAGCCCGGTCACCCGAGATTCAACGAAACGTGAGATGAATTTGAGATATTGAAATAAGCAAATAACATGATCCTGGCAGTCGTATAATCACCACAACAATAGCATGTGCTTGTTTGGTATCATAAAGACTTATTTCAATACCTCAAAGTCATCTCACGCTTCGTTAAATCTCGGGTAAGAGGGCTCATGTAATCAGCCCCTTAGCCGATACAAACGAATCAGTAAACGCCTGAGTGCTTGGGGCTGCATTGTCGTTGATATACAGTAGAGTTAAGCCGGTTTTCCACTAGCGATATTTTTCGCGCGAAGCGACTTTATTCCTCTGTATTTGAGCAATTTGTTCCAGATGGTTGCAGTTGAGAGCTCTGGAACAAAAGTAAAATGTCGATTCGCGCGAAAAATATCGCTAGTGGAAAACCGGCTTTCCACTGACAGCGAAATCAGATTTCCACTCGGATTTCCACTGACAGCGAAATCGTTTGCTAACGAAATATTTGCATATTTTCTTTTGAATTTTAACAGCATAAATAAATTAGTGCGACTTGACTGTTCTGAATTCAAAAGAAAATATGCAAATATTTCGTTTTTCATTCGCACGTACATGCAAGTAAGTTTAAATCCTTGTATACGCCATTTGAAAAAGCTAGGTAAATAAATTAAATGAACTTTGTTGAACCATGCATGTGTTAAATAATAAAAATATGGAATCACAAATTTTTCGCGCGAAAAATAACGCGTAAGTGGAAAGCAGCCCTTATTATGCTTATTTCCAATCGTTGCAAAATTCTATCAATATCCCTATATTGCAATGAAGTAATGCTTTCTTCATGAAATACTATTTGAACTGGTGGGTACTGTCTATGGCGTTTAACTACAGCTAATAGTCCTTGTAGTTACCTTTTGCACTGACGATAACAATTCTAATATTTGTTCCATAGGAATAAGCCCTTCGCCAGTAACGTACAGTTAAGTAACCAGGTCCAAAGTTGTACGTATCGCTGTGGCTAGCGTTAAAACGGCTTATGTTTTTTGATGAATTTACTTTTGACGCGGTAATTGTCAATATTTCAATGTCTGATCTCTTTATTTCTGTAGTTAAAATAGCTTCCGATAAAAGTGTTATCTTAAAAATGCATTCAACATTCGTGGAGGAATAGGAAGTCGTTCTCGACGTGGTGATAATCTGCATGTCTTTTCTACCAATGGTTATTTCTCTATTTTGCCCGCAAATTGAAATTTCCTTTCTCATCATAATGTTTCGCAGTATGGAATCAATGTAATTAATTTCACGATCATCAGTAAATGATAGTATGCCAATTGTTTCGCTTAAAACGCCCTTGTCTTTGTTGAAAACGCTACAATTATAACAAGTTAGTGACGAAAATATCTCAATTCCATTGCCATTTCTGCGCCTATTTTCAATCAGTATATTTGCCATGTTAGAACCAGGTACTTGAAAAGCAATTTTAATTCCACCGAAAGACTCGCGAATCTCTACATCTCTAATGACTTGTCTCAATACGTCAAAATGCAAGACATAGCGACTTATATGAGATTGGGTATTACTTCCACCACGTTCAAATTTTACATGGGATATTTCACTTGCTTTAGCCGTTTCTCGGAATCGTATTCCGCGCCAGGAGCCAGGATTACAGCGTACAGTCCATAGACTACGATAACACGATACACCCCAGCCTTGGAAAGAACAACTGGCAATATCATTATAAGTATCTGAGTCGCATCTTACATGTCTCCACCAAACTGGCTTCGCGCTACCAGAACTGGGCGTATAACGATAGCCGCCACTATAACCCTCAAATCCCAGCTGTTTGCATAAGACAATATTGTTAGTATTCGTGTTATAATCATCACATATTGTTCCCCAGGTATTGTTATAAAGTATTTCAACAATACCCTCCCATGGTTTTGAACCATTCACAAGACGAATCGGATATTGTCCAAAGTTGGAAATTCCTTTCAAACTCGTTGCAATATCAAATTTGATTGGAGCACTCAATTTTCCAAGCAACTCCAACTTGCCGTAAACATGAAATCCAATACGTGGACTCACATTGACTTGAACACCTTCTTGAATAGTTATCGAAGCATTTTGTAAAATTATAATGTCTCTCGTCACAATAAAAGGAGAATTGTCTTTCTCGAGGATAATGTCTTCAGTTACGAGACCTCCCAGTACATTTCCCTTTCTAAACATGATATTTGTCTCCCCTTTAAAGACGTCAGAAAGATTAGCACTTGCAAGAAAAGGTGAAAAATTTAATTGAGGTAAATAATTTCGATGACGGAAATCAAAAATTCTCGCAATTACATCGTTCACGTCTGTTAATCCCCACCAATTCATTCTCCCATTTATATGATGTGAATTCAAGTTTGGCGTAAGCATCAATTCCAAAGGAAGAAATGGGTTTTCAAAAAAATTTTCATTCACAAATATTTGTCTGCTTAAGAAGATTACAGCTGCAACATCATTGATATCATAAAATGAACTTGGAGTGCGTCGATGAATAATAATATTGGCAATCAGACTGTTTCTGGTGAAATTCAAACTGCTCGTGGGATGGTTATTGACTAGATTAAAGACACTTCTTACCACCGCATTGTGCCACAATGTATTCCCACGAATGACAACCACCTGAGCATTTTCAGTAAAATCAACTAAATTTTTTGCTGTATTATTTAATAAGCTGTTGTCAAGTAATAACAATTTGTTTCTTGAGTTTGTCCATGTGGAATAAAGGGCTTGAAATTTCAAAATGTTCTCATAGTGGTTACTTTGAAAAATGTTTCCATTTATCTGGGTAGACGAATAAGCATTATGGCTATTGAAGGAAAATACCAACAAAGCCGTTGCACTGATAGAGTTCCTGTTGTACTGAAAGGTATTGTTTACTAGTTTTAAAGAAGATCCACTGCTGTAACTAGGCAATATTGAAGCGTAAATTTGGAATATCAAAATGTTTTTAAAGTGGTTATTCTGAAACTTATTTTCATTTACTTGGATAAGAAAATAGCGATGGTAGATTAACTCCAGCATAGCCGATGTTGCACTGATAGGATTCGTATTGTACTGAAATGTATTATTTGTTAATTTCAATATATGATCTGGATTTTTTCTTGTTATTCCTGAATTAACAGTTTGGAGTCTCAAAATGTTCTTGAAGTGGTTACTACGAAACACATTTCCATTTAGTTGGACAAGAGAATAACCATTGATGGATATTTCTAGCATGGAAGAGTAATCGTTGACGTTGTATTTAAATGTGCTGTTTATTAGTTTTAATATTGATCCCTGTCCAAGCGCCGCGGATATGCACGTGGTACTTGTATTTGTAATATCAGAATTTTTGATGATTGTTGTGTAGTGATTAACGTCAAGCCTGATTCCAATCCCCGTGAATTGTCGTATACTTACATCCGAAATCTCGTTTATGTCGTTCTTTTGTGATCGCTCTACAAGGGGAATAAGTGAACAAGTTAAATGCGTGTTCATTCGATCAGACAATCTTAACTATATTGCATGGATCGCCAATATTTTCTAATCTCAGTCAGAGAAAAAAATTCGGCTGTTTTCCGTTTGATTACAAATTCCACGAGATAACTTTTCTCATGCCATCTGAGCTCAGAACTCTGCATGTGCATGCAAAAAGCAAAGAAATATTCGGTTAACAGGAAAACGCGGGTGCGCATGGTATACAGGGTGTATTAAAAAAAACTGCAAATACCATAATTTAATGCACTATAGAATTTCAATGACTGTGCAACTAATTACACTTCTGGGATTTTAAAATACGTTTCCCAGGGTTACCATGTTTACTAACGCTCCCTAAAGGCCGGCGTACACTAGAGCTATGTGCTTGGCAAAAAGTCATTCGTGGCCTTTGGCGTAAGCCAGTTGCTCTCGTGTGCGGGCGACTTTTCAGGCGACTTTGGTCATTCGTGCCACTTACAGAAGTTACGGCAAATATCTAGCATGTTTGATAATTTCTGCCTCGCGTGCCAAAATTTTTCCGTGTGCGGCAAACTGAAAGCTATCCGAGTTATGGGTTGTCTTAACAGCGCATGCGTAATATACAAAGGTAAACATCCAAGATAGCGGTGCAAACAAAGCAAAACGAATTGGTGGCTGAGGGCATATTGGAAGACAAACTGGTTGACCTTTGGCCAGAATACAGGTGTTTATACGATGTGAATTCTACAGATTTTAGAAACAGAAGAAGACAGAAAGAGAAAAACGGGAATGCGCTATTGCAGAAATAACTAGTGAGCTTTCGCAAACAGGTAATATAATTAATAGCACTTGGATAACGGTGTTTAAAGCGGAAGTCTAGTCTAATCTTCACTTCCATCCAAAATTTTGTTTTTGCAACTGTCCGCAATCTTGGATGTATACTTTCGTATATAACGCATGCGTTGTTAAGACAATCCATAAGCAGATAGCTTTCAGTTTGCCGGACACGGAAAAATTTCGGCACGCGAGGTAGAAATTGTCAAACATGCTAGATATTTTCCGTAAGTGGCACGAATGACCAAAGTCGCCCAGTGGCGTAGCCAACCTGACGATTTTGTCCCGCTATGTAAATTTTGAGTTATTATAATCATTCATGTCTTTAAAAATCTATTGTTTTCACAGTCAGTGAACACTAAAATATTAGCATAGCGGGACAAATCGACAGGCTGGCTACTGAAGTCGCCTGAAAAGTCACCCGCACACGAGAGCAACTGGCTTACGCCAATGGCCACGAATGACTTTTTGCTAAGCACATAGCTCTAGTGTGCGCCGGCCTTAACCATTGTGTTTTGCGTACCCTTGTGTTATGTGCTTAATTTTCCAATTAACACGACTTTAGACGGAGGTTGAGTTTGTTCGTATAGTTTTGTTCTTAACTGAGCCATTCGTAATCGAACTCATAAGTTTATTTCACTTTGTGTGCTTGTTTTGATAACCCTGGGAAACGTATTTTCAAATCCCAGAAGCGAAATTAGTTGCACAGTCATTGAAATTCTAATGTATAATCTCATGGATACAAATTATGGTATTTGCAGTTTTTTTTATACACCCTGTGGATTGTGCCCGTGATTTTTGATGGATATAGATTTACTGAAATATTTTAAAGCAATTCGCGCAGTATTTGTTTGTTAAAAGAAAAATTAAAAGATCGAACAGTAGAACTTTTAAAAATCGCTGTTTGACAGCGAAGATTTGCCTTTTCTTTATAATTATACCGTATTGCCAAAAATTATTGGCTATACAATACAAAATATATTGTTAGTTTGGGCGCATTCGTCAACGCCTTAAGTCTGGTAAGTGCAAAATAACCTTTTAGAATTATATGGAGAAACGGAGAATTTTCTCAGTAAAATAGCGGGATTTTGTTCTGTTAAAGAAACAAATACGGCATGAATTGTTTTAAAGGCTGCAAACGCCCCTAGCGTAGAAACTCGATCACAATGTACCCGGGCAGACATGCATATACCGCGGGATTCTGCGGGAGTGGTAAAAAAGTAACATCCGATGAAATGTGGCACACCTATATCTTTTCACTAGAAATATAACGCATATAATATAGCGCACGCAAATGTTTTCAAGATGACAGTTTTCAAGCGGATATGCAATAAATTATGTAATTATTATAAGACAAGTGTCTGATTCACAGCAAATTCTTCCGCATTACCAGAAATTTGCGACATGATAATTTGCATGTATACTAATTTGCATTTAACTTTCAGCATAATGGCCTTCAACATTTACTATAAAATAGATATAGTCAATATACAAAACTTAAAAATGCCGTTGACCTAGACCTTGCCTACTGTTTGCCGACCTCTAGATCGGTCGAGCAGCTGTTTAGAAACGTTTTGGTGGCCGAATTTTTTTGCTTGGGCATTTCTGTAATCTGCCAAATTTAAAAATATATTGCTCAAAGTTTTGTCCGTGTTCTGTCAACGAACTTATAAAATCGCTCACATTGATTCGAATATTTCGATTCAGGTAGTTGATGAATTGACGTGTAATATACCAAAAAAAGTTGTTAAAGATATTGTCTTTCGTATTTGTGTATAAACTTTTCTGTACGGCTCGGATTTTCACTGCAATCACTTTAAAAAATATTATCAGTCTTATCATGAACTTGAACAATACGAAGGCTATATACACATTTGTTCACAATCAGTTGGCCGAACGTAGAAATACCTAAGGTAAGTAATTCGATCATTAAAACGTTGGGAAACGGCTGTTCTATTGACCCAGAGGTCGGCAAACAGTGGGCAAGGTCTAGGGCAACGACATTTTAAGGTTTTGTATATTTACTATATGTATTTAATAGTAAAAGTTGAAGGCCATTATGCTGAAAGTTAAATGCAAATTAGTATAAATGCAAATTATCATGTCGCAAATTTCTGGTAATGGAAAAGTAACCTACAATTTGAAAAATACACTACTTTTTTAACAGAATTTTTCAAAAGTATATTTTTAAAATTTTGGCCGTGTTCTCTCAATAAACGAACTTATAAAATCGCTCACATTTGATTATTCATATGCGAACATTTCGATTCGGTTATAGTTGATGAAATGCCGTTTAATATAGTTATAGCTAATAAAAATTGTTGTTCAGATATTGTCTTTTGTATTCCTGATAAAAATTTTCCTGCACATTTGAACAGAATCAGTTTGCTGAACTTAGAAACACGGTAAGTATGATTCGAACACTAAAAAATGTTGCGAAACGGCTGTTGATTTGATCCAAAGGTCGGCAAACTTTAGGCAAAGTCCAGGGCAATGGCGATCTTACGTTTTGCCCCTTTTACTATATGTATTTCGTGGTAAACGTTGAGGGCATTATGCAATTAAATTAGTATAAATTAATGTTAATCATTATAATTTAAATTAATGTTAATCATTATGTCGCAGATTTCTGGGGCCGGTTGTATAAAAATCTTAACTACATTCAGTTAAGTAGTTAAATGGTAGTTAACTAGAAAATACATTATTCTGATTGGCCAATTCTGCCACTATAGTTAGACTATATTAAAAGTTAACTACCTTTTTATTCAACCGGCCTGGTAATGAACGCTGTTAATTGCAGGTGTAAACACGCAGTAAAAGTTGTTGTCTTTATATTAAATTAAAAAGATAGTGTTTTTCGTCTTATAGATTTTTTTTCTCTATGCAATTCGGCCGGAATACAAGCTCCTATATTAGTGATATAACTCATGAATATGCATGAGCACGATTCATATCTTACCTGGTCGACTTACAAGAAACATCTTTAACTTTCTCGTATACAACCATTCAAGTTCGAGTTCAATTGTAGTATTTATTATATTACCTGGATGATGTTTTTCAAATCTTCATATTATTTTTACATCTAGATATATTGGTAATTGCCTTTTAGCAATTAAAGCCTTTTATTCCAAACAAATAATTCGTCTGTGTCTCATGACAATGAATGAAATAAATGCGGTCGTAGTGCCTAGGCCTAGAGTATAGACTATCAATATAAGCAAGATTCGTATCTTACCTGGTCGACTCAATAGAAACATCTTGAGATTACTCGAATACCAATATATTTCAAATTCGATCTCAACAATAACAGCACTACTTTTCAATTCAACGATGTATTGTTGCGACAGATCATCTCTGGATAGCTCAAACAGTAGTTCAGATGAATTGCTATCGCGAATCCGCAACTTGACATTTGAAAGATCTGAAACAAAAGCTGACAGAACCTGGTCTGGAGAGGTTGCGAACACCTAAAACGTGATAAAAGATTTTTCTCCATTAATTTTTTTCCCTAAAGTTGATTCCCGTGTTTTTTTCGTCCAACTACTTTTGACCGAGATATATGGTATAATGAATTAACAAAACAAATGTCAGACAAGGCTTACTTTCTTGATAATCTCAATAACAAGTTTCAGGCACCTTCAACTGGCCCGTACGCGTTTACCCTAGTTGCAATTTAGTTGCCTTAATAAGTACAAAATGTATTAACTCACCATGGAACAAGGGTTGCTGTGACCACTGTAATAAGTGATTTCGACAGGAAATGATTCGTTGTAAACGCTGTTGCTGCTATCACAAAGATCGACCAGCTCAAAGCGCCCTGGGTGTCTTCGTAACCTGATGGCATTGACGCCATTTTGGAGCCTCAATTTTGACAACTTAAATCTCGTGAAGATTGTTTGCAAAATTTCCACCCCGGTATGGCAGCCTGTGATCGTAAATTCCTCTAACTCAATATTAAAGGAAGAATAATCAATAAGCAACACGCCTGCGGTAGAATTGATAACCGTAAAGTTTCTAAAGCGAAGTATTTCCATGTCTTTGTTATATTTGAGGTCATTTTTCACAGAGCTGTTTATTTTATTGTTCGTTGCCACAACACCATAGAGACAGTCTGTGATCTTTATATCGCCTAACAAAATATCTATACCGTAGGTACGGATTTCGATAGCCAAAGCGAAACCTGATATGTCAGCATTTTTGAGATAAGGACACTCGCCATCACAAACAATTGCTTTGAAACTGGTAAACTTGCGTAGTGAAGAATTTTCTTCCAGAAACCGATCTTCTTTTAGAACATGTATTCTAACATTGATTAAACACGATCTTTCTTTGCCGGCAAAATGGAATATGCTTCTCGATAGATTACTTGTTTCCAACTTAAAGTTTGGCCCGGTACATATTAATCCAACGTCGTCGTCGTGTCCTAGTTTAAATAGAACGATATACAGTACTGTCCAGAAATAACTTAACAAAAACCGCGGTTAACCTGGGTCAAACCTCAGGTCGTTCTCAGCTGTTCATAACATTCCGCTCGGAAGCGAACGGAAACCGCGATCGTGTATTTTCTCTTGCGGTCTGCGGTTTCTATTGGTCGACATGATTATACTATATTTCAATGCAAAACATTTAGATAGCTATATCCAAACTGTGAAACAATCAAGTGCGTGAACATATGCAGGTCAGGAATTATCAGAGATTAGTGACAGTGTGCATTGACCATTTGAAAGTGATGGCGGATATGCTATTGGGAAAAAAATATTCAGATTTCAGAGCTCTATATATAATGTAGCTATACGTATGATATACTTGGAAGTTACGACCGATTCCTGGAACACGCATAAAATAGTTTCGGTTTTGTAATTTATGTGCGTAATTGGGTGGTTTTGATGATGCGAAGGGTATGAAGAGAGACCTAATTTGAAGATTCAACCCGAATCTGAATCATTAAATTTGTAATTCGCATAGATTTATAACGCTTTTTATAGGCAGAAATGTGCGGGGTTTTTTAAATAATAAACGTGGTGTACGTTAAGGTAGCTATACGATAGTGTTGTTTTTAGCTATGCTGAATATAACAAGAATGTTTTTTGTAACTTACTACAATTATGGCTACCAAATCCACGGTGGCTACATTGTCTCAATGAACGATCAGCTTGAGTACACCGCACATCATCCATCCATATTCGACCAGTTCCTGCTCCAAATTCTCGCGTAAAAGTTCCCGTTGGAAAACCGAGTTCACGACAGACAACATCGCTGTTTATTTGGGACCAACCGTCATCGCAGATAGTTCCCCAGATACCTTGGTGAAGAATTTCCAACCGCCCAGTGTTATACCCGTTGCCGTCAACAAGCCTCAAGCTTGTATGGAAAATATTCCATGGTAAATAGGCTAAGCCTGCTAATGTCATCAATGAGCGGTTGAAATACTTCCCAGTTTGCGAACTGATGTCAATTGGTAATGCTTCAGTTCCATTTGCAACGAGATTACCATAGACATTCAAACTTCCGTTTCCAGAAAACTTTATACTTGCACCAGGTTGGATGGTCAGAGTTGCATTCTCATGAACATTGACCGTGTGATTGATTTCCAAAGTTTCATTTTCGAACGTAATTGTGTAATCTTCGTAAATATCTTCAATAAATCCCGAAATAGGGACAACACAAACATAGGGAAGTGCCAGTAACGCAAAGCAAAAAAACCTGTTTGGAAAACTGATGCACCATTCTCGGCGCACCTCCATCGCAGAATACGAGAGACGCTTTGGAGGAACTATAAAAATAATATACCGTTAAAATATGCATGTAAATAGATTAAGGAAATGCATGAACAATGCAAATGATTTGAACCATTATATGCGTTTAAGTCTAGTATACCATTGGAATTGTACTAACACCAGCAAACCGCCGTATGCGAAACGCAGCACTGTACATGGGTATAAGCCTTGGCTGAGAGATAAGCTGAACGAAAAAATCGTGTGTGCACTGATAAACTTCATTCAACGCTTGAGTTCACCCTTACAAAAACATATTCACTCAATAAACATCTCACAGAGCTTTTGTATAAAAGACTCGCTAACTATGCTGGAGCTAGAACAAATTATAACAAGAAGATTACATCGATCGTTAAATCAGTCGTAGCTCCGGTAATAGAACATGAAGATGTAACAATGACGTCTTACTAGAGCACTCTCGTATGACCATCTATTACTAGAGCATTCTAAAGTGCATAATTATTTATGTACATGCATGACGCGGCTTTAGACATATTCTCAGGTCTATATAATTACGATAGCACTAGAAATAATTGATCGTAACTTCAGGAAAGCCCCCCGCTTCGTCGTCAAATTGTTGCTACATTGTAATTGACCTCTTCGGCTATGTTAAAATTAATCTGTTGATTTCATAGCAAATATCTTCTAGAATATAAAATGCCAACGTTCATATCCATGTTTAAACCTCATGACATTAAAATGTTATCGAAGACAAATAGGGTAAAAAAAGGTTACATGCATGCATGCTAGAGCGTGGACAATGACGTCAGGGTTCGCAGACTACATGCATGCAAGCTGAACTAGCAGGTCTATTACTTATATAACCGTAATCAGTTAACTTTCCTACTGATAAACGCGGCCGAGGGCCGAGGCAAATATTTATATACTTTGTTTATTATCATTGTAGCCATTATTATTTCCTTGCACTTCTCGATTATTATTATTATTATTATTATTATTATTATTATTATTATTACTATTATTATTATTATTATTATTATTATTATTATTATTATTATTATTATTATTATTATTATTATTATTATTATTATTATTATTATTATTATTATTATATTATTATTATTATTATTATATATTATTATATTATTATATTATTATTATATTATTATTATTATTATTATTATATTATTATTATTATTATTATTATTATATTATTATTATTATTATTATTATTATTATTATTATTATTATTATTATTATTATTATTATTATTATTATTATTATATTATTATTATATTATTATTATTTATTATTATTATTATTATTATTATTATTATTATTATATTATTATTATTATTATTATATTATTATTATTATTATTATTATTATTATTATTATTATTATTATTATTATTATTATTATTATTTTTTTTTTTTTTTTTTTTTTTATTTTTTTTTTTATTATTATTATTATTATTATTATTATTATTATTATTATTATTATTATTTATTATTTTATTATTATATTATTATTATTATTATTATTTTATTATTATTATTATTATTATTATTATTATTATTATATTATTATTATTATTATATTATTATTTTATTATTATTATTATTATTATTATTATTATTATTATTATTATTATTATTATTATATTATTATTATAATCATTATTATTATTATTATTATTATTATTCATTATTATTATTATACTGACATTGAGCAGCAGCGCATATTCGCTCTCTGTACATGTCATTCGTTTAAATGAAAAATACTTTACTTGAATTGGTACATTATCGTCGTATTGAATTTAAGTCTATAATGATTCGTATAAGCTTACTTGCATTTTTTTTTACTCTCATAATATGCGGATTTTGTGGAAAAGAATTTGTATCATTGGGCCGCCACTCATGGCGTTGTAAAAGCAAAATTGATTACAGCGAAGAAACCACTGGAAAAGCTGATCCTGTTATGGAAATCCCTTCACAAGAATGCATGCCGATAAAGACGCGCAAAGCTATCAAATGCTGTTGTGGAAAAGTCTGTAAAGGAGCTCGCGGCCTTAAAATGCACCAGCGAAGCTGTAGGGTCATTGATGATCTCGAAGAAGAGCTACAACAACAAATGGTAGAAGTCCTATCAGAACAACAGAACGAGGATGATATTGACCCGGTCAACATTATGGTTTCATCAGGTAATGTTCAAGAAAACTATCCAGATATTAAAAAAGGAATAAAACTACCTAAATCGCCATCACAATGGGCAATTGCTAACGACTTTTTCAGGTTAACTTTTTCAAACCACCCAATCACACCGCACGATATAGGTAATAATATCAAAACCATGGCAACAGAAATATACAACTATTTTGGTGAGAATTTTGGATATATTGATAACAATAGCAACGCCAAATTTGAAAGTAAATACAAAACGTTTGCAGCCAAAGATTTGAAGAAAACCTTGAAGAAACTTAAATTAGAAAAAGGAGATGTTTTAGAGATTAAATTCGTCGCTAACAAACTACGCAATTTACTCAAAAACTGTGATATAATTGATCACAATAATACAAATACAAGTGGGACTAAGGAACACGACCACGACAGGCTAATTAACAAAAGCTTTTGGGGCTATGTTAAGAAGATTTTTGAAAAAAATACCAGCTCACTCCCCTCATTTGATCTATTGCAATGCACATCGTATTTTACTAAAATGTTTTCCGCGATAAACCAAAGTAAAAGGTTTAATATTCCAAGCTGGATTCCAAAATTTGCTTCACCTCAAACACCATTCAAGCTTGACCCCCCGACCTATCAGGAGATTACAAACATCATTCGTAAAATGAAACCGTCTGGCTCCCCATGTCCACTTGACCAAATATCTATAATCTGTTTTAAACGCTGTCCTTACCTACGTTCCTACTTAACCGATATAATCCGGGTTTCCTGGTCTCATGGTGCGGTTCCCTCCGAATGGAAAAAGGCATGCACAATCTTAATACATAAAAAAGGAGAAACAAGTGAACCAGCTAATTTTCGACCAATTACTCTTGAATCCATACCTCTTAAAGTGTTTACGTCATGTCTTCGAAATAAGACATTTCAATACCTTGTTGAGAACAACTACATTGAACAAAACATACAAAAAGGGTTCACTCCTAAACTTTCTGGAACTATAGAACATACGGCACAGATGGCACATATCATTAATACAGCACGTACGAAACAACGATCACTAATAATAACATTGTTGGATTTAAAAAATGCATTTGGTGAAGTTCATCATGCACTTATAAACGAAGTCCTGAAATATCATCACATTCCCGATCATATCAAGAATCTCATTTGCAGCCTTTACACTAACTTCCAAACTTCAATTATAACTGATCAATTCAACACGCCGTTCATTACAGTGGGCCGGGGTGTGCTTCAAGGAGATTGCCTTAGTCCCTTATTATTCAACATGACTTTTAATACATTCATTCAACACATTAAATCAGATAAATATCGCCAGCTTGGATTTTGGAAACATTGCGTAAACGGCATTCCATTATACCCAATCCATTGGTTCCAGTTTGCCGACGACGCGGCTGTTATCACAGGCCAAGAAAAAGAGAATCAAATGCTCCTCAATCGCTTTACGATCTGGTGTCAATGGTCAGATATGATAATACGCGTAGATAAATGTGTTTCATTCGGTATAAATAAACATTTAACTAAATCCATACAATATCTCCCAAAATTAATTATAAATAACCATCTTGTACCACGTGTAGAAATTGGAAAATCATTTCGCTATTTGGGCCGCTATTTTGACTTCAGCATGTCTGACGACGATCACAAATCTGAAGTTTACGAGACACTAACAAACATACTTAAAGAAATTGACGAGCTACCACTACATCCAAAGAATAAAATACTTTTGTACAACCGATATGTTCTTTCCAAAATTTCCTGGAACTTCACCGTTGCTGACATAGGAAAAACATGGGTAAACGAAAAACTTGATAGCATCACTTCAAAGTATATCAGAAAATGGCTCGAGCTTCCTATTTCTGCAACACTTAGCAACGTTCTCCTTCCTCGCAACAAATTTGGACTTAATGTCATCCTACCCTCAACTAAATTCCTTCAATGCCAAACAATCTCCCGAAATGCTCTAAAATCGTCGCCTAATACAGAAATCACTAATCTTTGGAAAAACACTAGTAATCACAAAAATATACAATATGACACGTACAAAAACACCAAAGAAGTATTAAGTTCCGTAAGAGAAAAACACGAAGAAAAGCTTCAGCTTCACCTTACTTCACAAGGATCATTTTTCTCCAACATTGCTAAATATTCTACCCTCACGCTGAACTCGATGTGGTCCTCCGTTCAAAGCAAACTTCCAAAGAATATATTCAATTTCACCATAAGATACATAAATAACACTCTTCCAACTAACAAAAATCTTCAAAAGTGGGGAATTTCGTCAACATCTGATTGCTCGTTTTGTCTGAAACCTGAATCACTTCTTCACGTCGTGGCTGGATGCAACGCTTACCTAAATGAAGGTCGTTTTACATGGCGACATGACTCGGTTCTGCATTGTATTGCAACAGCACTTCGATCTGTTAAGAAATCTACCCTTTATGTTGACCTATCAGATTATATTAGCCCGTCAGTCATCACTGGAGATACATATAGGCCTGATCTTCTAATATCAATTGAAAACAAATGTATTTATATACTGGAACTTACTGTTGGCTTTGAATCTAATCTCCACGCTAATGTGACACGTAAGGAACAAAAATATCAAGCATTAATTAATGAGCAGCGTAAAATATATGAAAAAGTAATATTCGTTAATATGTCTATTAGTACATTAGGTGTGTTTTCTAAACCAGCATTAGGTTTCATGGATATGCTGAAAGATCTAGAAGTTGATAGTCAATGCAGAAAATATCTTGTTAGAAAAATTATGAACATTTGTATAAGGTCTTCCTATTATATATTCTGTAAACGTAACAAAGAATGGAATAACCCACAACTTATATCATACTAATACATTTAATCTGTAAATACAACATGTAACCAATTCAAGTAGACACTGGTAAACTACCTGTCAAAGAGAGGTTTACCTTTGTAATTTGTATCATAAGAAAAAATGTCAATAAAGTTTTCATTATTATTATTATTATTATTATTATTATTATTATTATTATTATTATTATTATTATTATTATTATTATTATTATTATTCGTATTTGAATCACACTCTTTTATTAATTGAAATCGCGTATAAGGTTTATAAAATGATTCGTACAAGTGTAATTACTTTGTTGACGATTTGCGTGGTGTGTTCGTTTTGTGATCGTGAGTTCGTCTCGCTTGGTCGACATAAATGGCGGTGTAAGGAACGTATTAATCATGATGAGAAAGACCATGTAGATGCTCGATCCCGGGAAATGCCAATAACAAAGTCACCTAGTATTCCTGTTCCTAGCGTTACTGTTGTCAAATGTTGTTGTGGCAAAATATGCAAAGGCGTGCGTGGTCTTAAAATGCATCAGCGTAGTTGTCAAGTGATACACAGCCTTAACGACGAACTGGCTACTGATCTGGAAGAACAAATAACGACAGATGATACTACAAATACTCCTGAATCTGAAAATTGCCAAGCTGATAACCATATGACTTATGATGATCGACTCCCTGAACTCAAAAAAGGCATTATTTTACCTAAAAATGACTCTGAATGGCTAACGGCTAATGATTTTTTCAAATGTGCGCTGCAGATAAATCATCCAATCAGCTCTCCAGATGCAAATTCAAAAATAAAGTTATTAAACGATGTTATTTACAACTACTTCGCAGATAATTTTGGTCATAATGAGTCTATTCCAGATAAAAATATCGTTGCTAAATATAAAGAATGTACAGTTAAGGAATTAAAGAAAGCGTTGCAGAATTTAAAACGTAACGAAGGTAACCTTACTGAAATTAGACACGTCTCTCGAATATTGCGTAACAAACTTCGCAATATCAACAACAACGACGATGGGCTAGCCTCTTGCAATCAGACGCTCAATCACGACAAGTATATCACCCGGAACTTTTGGGGCTATATTAAAAATATCATAAATAAGAAGGATTCAATATTACCTTCCTTCAACGTGAATGATTGCCTCACTTATTTTTCTAAATCTCTGGCTAAAATTAATCCTAATCAACTGTTCACTATTCCCAGCTGGATTCCAAAGTTATGTGACCCCGAAGTTCAATTTAACCTTAATCCCCCGACATACCAACAAGTTACTAATGTTATACGGAAAATGAAATCGTCTGGCTCCCCTTGTCCCCTTGACCAACTTTCCATTATTTGTTTCAAGCGATGTTCGTTTCTCAGAAGTTACCTTACCGAAATTATTCATGAAATTTGGCACTCTGGTAATGTCCCAACTGAATGGAAGCGAGCATGTACAATTTTAATTCATAAGAAAGGCAACACCGCTGATCCTTCAAACTTCCGACCAATTACGCTTCAGTCTATACCATTAAAAGTCTTCACGTCCTGTCTAAGAAATGTAGTGTACTCCTTCCTAGCATCAAATAACTTCATCGAACACAAGATTCAAAAAGTTTTACCCCCAACCTTTCTGGAACTCTAGAACATACAGCGCAAATGGCTGATATCATCAATAAAGCTCGGATCAGACAACGCTCTGTTGTCATCACCTTACTTGATCTAAAAAATGCGTTCGGCGAAGTCCATCATAACTTAATTCAATCAGTCCTTGACTATCATCATATTCCCGATCACATTAAATTAATTATAAATAGTTATATACCGACTTCCAAACCTCAATAATCACCTCGGAATACTGCACTCCATTCATCCCCGTTGGCCGTGGCGTCCTGCAAGGTGACTGCCTGAGCCCTCTCCTTTTCAACATGTGCTTTAACACCTTCATTCAACATATCAAAGTTGAAAAGTACCGTCAATTTGGCTTCTCCTTTAAATTGTTAAATCCTATCCACTGGTTCCAGTTTGCTGATGACGCAGCCGTAATTACTGGCCAAGAAACTGAAAACCAACATCTGTTGAATCGTTTCGCTATTTGGTGCCAATGGGCTGATATGTTATCCGTGTTGACAAGTGTAGTACCTTTGGCATTAAGAAAGCAATCACAAAATCAGTGCAATACTTGCCCAAACTCTTCTCATATAACATGATACCAACAATTAAGAGCGGTGAAGCATTTAATTATTTAGGACGTTACTTTGACTTCAACATGTCGAATGAGAACCACAAGTATGAACTTATTACCCTTATCAGTGAGTTAATGTCTGAAATTGACTCAAAACCACTCCATCCAAAGAATAAACTTCGTGTATATAGTCGTTATGTCCTATCAAAACTGTCATGGCATTTCACCGTCGCTACACTCTCAAAAACATGGGTCATCGAAAATATTGATTCCGTAGTCAATCAATACATCCGTAAATGGCTAGAGATTCCAATCTCGGGAACACTTAGTTCTGTTTTCATAACTTCTAATAAATTCGGCCAAGGTATCTATCCTCCATCTGTAAAATTCATTCAATGCCAAACTGTTATTCGGAAAGCCTTAAAACTCTCTCCTAATGAAGAAATTAACGAGTTATGGAAATCTACTAATACGCACACTAATATTCAATATGACGCCTATAACAGTTCGAAAGAAGTGATTAAAGATTTCCGCTTAGGACATGAAGTTAAACTCCGAGACCAGCTTCATATTCAAGGATCCTTTTTCTCCAGTGTAACAAAGTTATCATTATTACAGCTAAACAAGGTGTGGTCTATCGCTCAATCCAAGCTTCCAAAGAATATTTACAACTTTACCATACGATATATCAATAACTCTCTTCCCACACGCAAAAACTTAAACAGATGGGGAATATCTTCGAGTTCAGAATGCACTTTTTGCCTTAACCCGGAGTCGTTATTACATGTGGTGGCTGGATGTCAATTTTATCTTGAGCGGTTTACATGGAGGCATAATTCGATCTTAAACTTTCTTGCTGATACATTGCAATCAGTAAATGATTGTACCCTTTACGCTGATATACCAAATTTCAAGAGTCCTACCATTATTACTGGTGATACATATCGTCCAGATTTGTTATTATCTTGCTCAAATGGTTTCCTATATGTGGTCGAGCTCACCGTCGGGTATGAGTCCAACCTAAGGAATAACGCTAAGAGAAAGAAATCTAAATATGAACAATTAATTTATCAGCTAAATGAAAAGTTTAAAAAAGTGAAATTTGTAAATCTTTCTATGAGCTCGCTAGGTGTATTTGGGGAAGAATGTTCCTCATTTTTAGGTATGTTGAAAGACATCGGTATTAGTGAAAATCACCAAATGCACTGTGTAAGAAAAATGTCCAGCATAGCTATTCGTGCCTCTTATTACATTTTCTGCCGCAGAAATAAAGAATGGGAAAATCCAAACTTACTAAATTTTTAAAATATCTGAACTTCTAAATCTATCTATATAAAGTAATATATATACATATATAGTCAATATTGATATAAATTCTTGTTTTTGTTAAATATTAGGATATTAGTTGTGGTTCAAGTAGCCGATTGTAAATTACCTTGATAAAGTGAGATTTGCAATTGTATTATGTAAAAACAAAAGTCAAATAAAGTTTTCATTATTATTATTATTATTATTATTATTATTATTATTATTATTATTATTATTATTTATATTATTATTATTATTATTATTATTATGATGTATTGTAGTTAATTGTAAAATTGTAGTTATTGATTGATTCAAGTAGCCGATTGTAAATTACCTTATATAAGTGAGATTTACAATTGTATATACCCTAAAAATTTATTAATAAAGTTTTCATTATTATTATTATTATTATTATTATTATTATTATTATTATTATTATTATTATTATTATTATTATTATTATTATTATTATTATTATTATTTTATTATTATTATTATTATTATTATTATTATTATTATTATTATTATTATTATTATTATTATTATTATTATTATTATTATTATTATTATTATTATTATTATTATTATTATTATATTATTATTACGACATTGAGCGGAGTAGCACGCTCCGTACATGTCTCCAGTTTAATCGAAATTTATTACTTGATTTATGCTTGATAGATTTCCAATTCAATATATTTGAAAGAATGATTCGTTCTAGTATTGTTTACCTATTTTTGTCTTGTGTGATATGTTCGTTTTGTGGAAAGGATTTTGTATCGCTTGGTCGGCATCAATGGCGGTGTAAAGAAAAGATTAATGATGCAAATTTAAATGCTAATTCTGATATACCAACTTCATATAATATCAATGTGGAACCAGTTATTAGTTCCCCATCTACATCTGTTGCTAAAAGATTAGGAGTTAAATGCTGTTGTGGAAAAGTATGCAAAGGAGCTCGAGGTTTGAAAATGCATCAACGTAGCTGCAGGGTCATATTGGGGCTAAATGACAAATTACTTGAGGATGCTAAAGAATATGAAGAAAGCAACAATGACGATGTGGGAGAGTTAAACAACACCGGCAACTCTTCAATGTGTAATGATGCCTTAAATGATGATTATCCAGAGTTAAAAAGGGGTATAAATTTACCTAAAACTGATTCCGAATGGTTAACGGCCAATGAGTATTTCAAATTTGCCTTACAGTTTAATCCTCCAATCACAAGCCACAATTTAAACACCTTGATATCACATCTAAACAGTACTATCTACAACCACTTCGCCGAAAATTTTGGTTTTATAGAAACCTTACCGGATAAAACACTCATAGTAAAGTATAAAAATCACAATGTGAAGGATCTAAAGAAAGCTTTGAAATTGCTTAAATCGACAAATTCTGATCTTCCTGAAATTAAATATGTTTCACGTCTCGTGCGGCAAAAGCTTAGCACTAATCCAAATAAATATTCTGCTAATAATACCGACGAATCGTTTAACCACGATAAATATCTAGAACGTAATTTTTGGGGATATATAAAGAACGTCATCAACCGAAATGAATCAATGCTTCCAACTTTTGGAATGAATGATTGTTACCAGTATTTTAAAAACATCTTAGCTAAAGTGAAACCAAACAAGCTATTTCAAATACCAAGCTGGATTCCATTGTTACCTAATCCGATTGCCGAATTCGACCTTGAACCACCGACATATCAACAAGTGACCAACATTATTCGTAGGATGAAAACATCTGGCTCACCGTGTCCTCTCGATCAACTCTCCATTATTTGCTTTAAACGTTGTTCATATTTAAGAACTTACCTAACAAACATAATCGAAGCAGTGTGGCTTTCAGGATCTGTTCCCGACGAATGGAAGAAGGCTTGCACAATATTAATCCACAAGAAAAGTGATACAATCTCGCCAGAAAATTTTCGTCCAATAACCCTTCAATCAGTGCCATTAAAAGTATTCACATCAAGTCTTCGCAACGCAATGTTTACTTACTTAATTTCCAATAATTTCATTGAACATAAAATACAAAAAGGATTCACTCCCAATATATCAGGAACATTCGAACATACAGCGCAAATGGCTTATATTATAAATCAGGCGAGAACCAGACAGAGATCTCTCGTAATAACCCTCCTTGACCTCAAAAATGCTTTTGGCGAAGTGCATCATAATTTGATTCAATCTGTACTTTGTTATCATCACATACCAGATCATGTACAACTCCTTATTAAAAGCCTCTACACAAACTTCAGAACATCAATTATCACATCCGAATTTAGTACCCCTTTCATACACGTTGGCCGAGGTGTTTTGCAAGGAGATTGTCTTAGTCCGTTGCTGTTTAACCTTTGCTTCAACACTTTTATTCAACATATTAGAACTGAGAAATATCAACAGTTTGGTTTTTCGCATAAACTTCTCAACCCTGTCCACTGGTTCCAATTTGCTGATGATGCCGCGGTAATCACAAGTCAACAATCAGAGAATCAGCATCTACTTGACCGATTTGCAATATAGTGTCGTTGGTCTACATGATTATTAGAGTAGATAAATGCAGTTCATTTGGCATGAAAAAGGCTCTCACTAAATCTGTCCAGTATCTTCCCAAACTAATCATGAACAGTTGTCTTATTCCAGCGACGGAACTTGGCAAGTCGTTCTGCTATTTGGGTAGATATTTCGATTTTGAAATGACAAATAATGAACATAAATCTGAACTAATCAGCCTCTTAACTAGTATAATGAAAGAAATTGACCTCAAACCATTACATCCGAAAAACAAAGTCCTTATATACACCAGATATGTTCTATCAAAACTCTCCTGGCATCTAACTGTAGCAAATCTTCCGCAAACCTGGATTTCAGAAAACCTAGACTCAATCGTCAACCAATATATCCGTAAATGGCTTGAAATACCTATTTCTGGAACATTGAGTAATGTGCATTTAACAACCAACAAATTTGGTCTCAACATCATTCCACCATCAACAAAATTTATACAGTGTCAAACAACGATTCGAGCAGCATTAAAAGCATCATGTAATGAATCAATAAAGCACCTCTGG